AATGGGCCTAAATCTATCCAATGTTTTTTTTTTCTTTCTTTAAATTTCCATTAAGGTATGTGTTTATGATAACTCAGTGTTTCTTAAATGTCAATAAAATATGATAGTATTGCCTATAAATAAAACTTTCAACTTCAATTGTCAGTGTCTTGCCTCAGTAAAACCATGTCTCCAGCAGGTTTAGGATTAACATCAGTTAAACCTCAGATGCAGTGACATCTAGTGGCAGATGTGTGAATTTGTAAATGGCACAGCAATGCAGTTTAAGAAATTTGATGAATTCAGTTTTGAACTTTTGAATGTTAAACTGTAAACTACAGCTAAGCTAATGACAGAGCAATTGCCACAAAGTACAATGATCACAAATAATAATAAGTTATAGCCAGAATCCTGTGTACTGACAAAGATATATATAGTATTTTTACAAACGTATCATCTTTTACTATGGTAACATTGTTAACTGACACCAAAGCATCAAGCCGACTTCACGTGTTGTTTGAGGAAAATAAGCGAAAATTCAAATGTACATTCTGGCTTTAAAAACAACTGTGCAAATCACTACATGATGATGAATGCATGTATTAAAGTGTGAATAACAAAATGCAAAAGGCACTAAAAGTGTTTTTTAGGGATGAAGTTTCTCTGTGTTATGTAATTTCTCTATTTCAGTTGATGCTGTTTTTCTTTGTGTGATGCAGATTTTCTCTAGCTTCATGTAGGTTGCAAAAGATATGTGTTCACATTAGAAATAGGCCATTTTAATATTTATCAGTAATCAAATAGTAAGTAATTTAATTAGCAATCAAATTGTCAATAAGCATTTCAAGGCACCCAACAAGAGCCACTAATTGCACTTGAATACTACAGAAACAAAAATAAACATTATTTTGCTTCATTCGTACTCACTTCCTCTCTGCGTTGGACATCAGATGATGCTGTGGTGCTCTTTTGCAACCATCAACATTCACTGCTATTTCAAACCAGAAACCAGGCGTTTTTATTAAACAAAATAAATGCAAGCAGTAAAACTATTGAAGACCATTTAAAAATGAAGTCAGTTTTTCACATTTAACAGACTGCGTTTTCATTATCTGTATAAATTTACATATAGTTAAGTGGAAATGTGTCTGCTTATCGCTAACTAGTAGGCAAGAGTATAAACAATGAAATGACTGGTGCAGGATACGTGAGGCTGAATTTAGCCCCAAACCAAGAGCCTTCTTTCACTCTGGGCCGATAAAAGTGTCCAAGCCGAGTTTGTTGACCCGTATTGTAATGGGAGGAAAAAGTAAACAAAAGTAAAACTGAACCCTGCTAGAAAGACAGATCTGGAGTGTCGACACTGTCGGTTCCAGTTACAGTCCAGTTTGGCTCATATACAGTATCCCGAATTTGGGCCAAATCTGGGCACTGTTGGCTGAGTGTCTTTCAGCTCTTCCCAGACAACAAATATACACTACTATTAGGGCCAAATGTAGCACTTCATCCGGCCCGGATCCGCAAAGCAGAGCTGGCCTGTTTTACAGATCTGTGCCGAAAAAGACCAGCACAGAGGTTGTGTGCAATTTAAAGCTTTGTCAAATAAAAGTTTAGGGGAAATCCATTTTAACTATTTAGTAAGGTTATTTTCCACACTTTTAATCAAATGAGAGGATTCTGTTACTGGCACAGGCCTGAAATGTGCAACGTTACCATTTCTTTACTTCTAGTTTCTAGACGTAAACAGTAAAATAGATGGAAGCTAGTGCTTGCACATCTCCTGAGCTCCCTTCATATTGGCTGTTTATTATTATTATTCTTTAATCTATATTCTATTTATTGTATTTTATCTTACTTTTCTCTTAGTTTAATACTTGTTAATAGTCTACGTGCTGTCTGGTCTGTTTAGTATGTTACATGTCATACATGTGTGCACTCACCAACACAAACTCCTTACACGTGTAACATACTTGCGAAATAAAGTAATTCTGATTCTGATTCACTGACTAACACAGCTTAGCTAGCTGGCTAGCACCACACACCACAATACAGGTTAACTTTAGTTTCCAGCTAATAGATTTTTCTTATGTCAGTCACTCAAATTCATTTCTCTCCTTTCTTTAGACTTTCCTAAAACAAGCAAAAATAATAAAACTGCTCTTAGAACATTTGCACAATTTCCAATGAATGCTAACAACAATTGCTTCTTATAGTGCAACACAGCCAGACGAGAGAGATGTCTAATGTAAGCGTTAGAGTATGTCGTTATTAAAGATAATTAAAGAAAAGTCTTTAATGTTAATTTAGTTTGGAATCAGACATTTTGACTGGCTACCCTGGCTAACATAACTAACATTCATGTTAACTGTCCTACCTCAGCAACTCCACCATTCAGCTTATTTGCTTGTCAAATTGAATAAAATATTAAAAGTTAAACAATAAAATCCATGACACCGGATCATAAGTCTAATAAATGTGCAAATATTTCGAATATAAAATATATTTTACCTTAAAATTCAGCAAGAAACTTTATATGTCAAAATCAACTGACGACTGCAGATGCCTGAGCGGGAGAAAGGGGAGGGGGAAGTTTTAAATGAGGTGTGTCCGTTTTTATAGATCTAATGCGTTCTGACTCCACTGAACAGCAGATACTTTAGTGCCATTATCAGTTACTTGGCCCAAATGTGCCACAAGTCCGCAGTGCAGATGCGACTACCAGGAGGATTCCAATGATGGCCAAGGTGATCTGGCCTGATCTGGCCCTTATGCACTCTGAGTCTGCTGACCGGCAGTGTTTAATGCCGTTAACAGTTACTTGGCCCAAACGTGGCACAGGTATGACTACCAGGAGAATTACCCTACGGGGAAAGGCACCTGGCTCAAGCATCAAGATAAACTACACCCCGAATGACCTTGAGACTACAAAACCAATGGACCCTCACAATACCCCCCTTTTGGCCTTTCCAAATATCTACAAATAGCTGTCATAAATTCCTTGGACCCTTTGCAGGAGCAAATTAAATGACCCTCCTTTCTTGATCTAACCGGGAAAATAACTCTGTCCCTGTTAAACTATCACGGAGTAACTCAACACATGGTTTCTCATGCCACATTGTCAGAATATTATGTATTATATCAGAATACTTGTCAGAAGTGAATTAACAAGATTCCACACAGTTGATAATTATTTTATGATTCTTCAATTTTAACCCAATTTCATTAATTGAGATTATTATAGAGTTGAGCTTTGATCATTTGTAGGTTCATTAAGTCCATATGTTCATATGAATATGTTAACCTCATATCTTTTCTGCATGTTTTTTAGAAGTAGAACTGTGTAAAATTCATAAAAATCTATAAAAAAGTAAAATTTGTAGTTTGTGTGACTATATATATATTAAGCATAATAGAGTTTCTGCTATCATATCGCCAGAGATATTTATAATAACTACTATATAATTATATATATAACTATTATATTATTATTAATAACTTTTCACTTTTGTATTAGAAATGTTAGTGTTGGTTAATACTAACCTGCAGAATTATGTTTATCTTTTACAAATCTTATATCCTTTCCTTAGTAATCATGTTGCTCCCAAGTAGCTCTATGTAACCGTAATGTAAAATTAGAGTACTTATAGAAAATAATAAGCAGTAAGGTCAATAGTTTCTTGTAATAGTTATCACAACAGTAATGTTTATATATTTGAAATTGCATGCTTATAGTGGTCTTTTACTTAAGTGGTACCCACACTCAGAAATTTGAAACTTGAGCAGTCCTGCAGACAAAGAATTTACATATTCATTTGAAAATGAGCGCGAAACCCCTTTTCCCCACCTTAGCTCTGTCCATGAGAGTTCTGGTCTTATAACTGGAAAAACAAAGGAACACTCACAGTTAGTCGGTCAGACGGGAAAGCGAGAGAACAACCCTATAATGCTGAAGAAATGACAAGAAGCCCTCTCCTGAAATAGCAATGTTCCTGAGCCCATGCAGTGATTTTCACTATAGAATAGTGCCTGTTTTTAAGAAGTAGAGTCTGCTTTGTCCTTTCCTGTAGGCAGCATTAGTGTTACACTTACAGTCCAGTCTGTTGTCAAGGTGAACACCCAGGTGTAGCACTCCACCTCTTCTCCCAGGATGGAAGTGGAGTTTAAATTAGTCCTGGTCCAATGTGATGATCAGTTACTAATCTCAGCATTACTGAGCTCTGCTAAAGCCTGAGTGGACTGATAAATCAATGTGATGATCAGTTATTAATCTCAGCGTTACTGAGCTCTGCTAAAGCCTGAGTGGACTGATAAATCAATGTGATGATCAGTTATTAATCTCAGCGTTACTGAGATCTGCTAAAGCCTGAGTGGACTGATAAATCGATGTGATGATCAGTTATTAATCTCAGCGTTACTGAGCTCTGCTAAAGCCTGAGTGGACTGATAAATCAATGTGATGATCAGTTATTAATCTCAGTGTTACTGAACTCCTGAGGGATGATAGAACTGAACCATCTCCTCAGTAGTGCATCTTCACGAGTGACAAGCTTAGCATCTGTGTTTTTTTGGACTTTGTATTTTGTGTACATACATGCCATTAACTGAAAATCACATAGCTGTCCATATTATTTTCAAGTTTGCAGGATTTTGTCATTGGGGTATGACAAATTGTTTGCTTAGTTCATGAGACAGGGGTTTATGGGAGCAGCAGTGGACTGATTACATCAGGGGTGTCAAACTCAACCAGTAAAAGGGCTATATTAAAAAATCTCACCAAATCTGTGGGCCAGAGAAAAAAAAAGTTTCTATTTCATTTTTAATCAAGACTTGGGCTCAATTCCTGAGCTGCTGAGCTAATGATAGTGTTTATATTGGTTAAACTGCAGCTGAAATTTCGTTGATATGACTGGGGTGGAATTGTGCAGAATTGTACAGAATTGAGGTGTAACCGCTGTCCAGACTGTTGTTGGGGTAGGAGCACATTACATCAGAGCACATTACGTTGCAGTGCATGCTGTGGACTGGACTGTAGTGCAGCACATTGTGAGCAGAGCTGGAGGAACAGAACACAGTGTCAACAGTTCGGAGCAGCTTGATTTCTGATCATTCTAAAAGGTAAGTGAAAGTAAAGTTCTTGTGTAATTAAAAAGCAAATGGTCTTGCTAACGGTCTCACAATTTTTAAAAATATTTTCAACCGTCAGATTCAGAAGGAATCAGAATATAAAGTGTTAGAAAGGTGACCATTCACAAAGAATCAAGTTGTACTGTGGTTCTCTAGGTGAAAATTGAACTGAATGTCCTAAATATAGCCCTGCAAGTACATCATGAGTTTATTTTAAAATACATGCTTAAGGCCCAAACTTTATCTCAAAACTATCATAAACCAATGTTTCAGGCATCAGTATATTCAGAATCGTTTGTGTAATAGCTTTTAGTGTCTTTTAGAGTCAAAAAACACATCCGACATCTAATTCCTCTCACCAACTCTGTGAACAATTGTGACTTCTCTGGAACGACACACTTCACATCAAACCACTGAATGAGTTTGTTTACAACTTAATCATTGAATTATGCAGAGCATTTGAATTCCGCTTTAAATATAAGTAACCAGAGTTACTGTTTTATGTTTTATGTAGTGGAGACTGTTACAATGTCAGCTATTTATATATTATACATTTTACATGAAGAATAGTCAGCCTTACAATATGGTGAACTGCTGCATCCTGTTGCATGTCTTAAACTTAAGAAACTTAAATATGTGTAGCCTCCTTTATCAGTTTCTGAGTGACAGTCTTAATACTCTGTTTAGTTATCAGTCATAAAACACTTCCGCAGACAGTGCCAGACCCGGGCTGTCACAAGAAAGATCATGACAGATCAGTTCTTGACATACTCTTTTGAAAACATGTTCTCTGTGACTTTAAATGACTAGTAACTAGTGTAGCTGGTTCCTTAATAAATAAATAAATAAAAGGGACATTTAATTGCATGGCTTAATTATGTTACTTTTGTTATTGAGGTACACTAACCAGCCTTAGATCACTACTGTGTGTTTTTTAGTGTGTCTGCTTCTGTTGACTTGAAAGACAGAGTAATAAAAATGAAGAAAAAACAGGTATTTATCAAATCAATTGCAGCTGCTTTTAGTAACACTCTAAAGGACCAACCTCCTTTACATATTAACTCAACAGTGCATAATATGGTTAGCAAATCTAACTGGGAGTTAAGATATATTTCAGATGCACCACAAAAAAAAAAAAAACTCCTTGACCACAATAATGCCATGGAAAAATAAACAGAGAAACCAATTGAAAAGGGACTGCTGCATAGCAGAATGGAAGTGGAGGAAAAACTAATTAACTAATAAACTATTCACCATGAAGTTCTGAAAAACAGACACAGAAATACTACTCAAAACGTATTAATGATAAAGTAAACAACTCAAGAATTTTATTTTCTGTTAAATCCTAAATTAACCAATGATTATCTCAATGAAGTTCGACATTAAAATGTAATGATTTTGCGTTATTTTTTCATACAAAAATCACAAATATTCAGCCACATTTTATAACTCCAAAACTACCAATAGTAGACTCTACTTTTATCCAGCAGCAAAACACTATGAATAGTTTTAAAAAGATTAATGAGACAGACTTACATATTTAACTGGAAGACAGTATTTTGTAAGCATAGGTGAACATAGAAGTGCATGATATTCTCTGTGGTGTTCCACAAGGCTCTGTACTTGGTCCACTTCTGTTTTCCTTGTATATGCTGCCACTTGGTCAGTTATACACAACTGTATGTACCTGTAGCTCTGGACGATGTCACTACAGTAGACTTGCTGGTAATATGTCTGTCCAGCATTGTTAGATGGATGAATAGCAATTTTCTAAAACTTAACGAAGACAAAACAGAAATAATTAGAATTGATAGTGAAGCAAAGAGATAAAACGTGTATGAAAGACTTGGAAATCTGACTCTACAGATAAAAACTGACGTTAGGAATCTTGGTGTAACTCTTGATTCTGATTTACCTTTTAAACCACATATTAATTATATACCAAAGCTGCTTTTTATCATTTAAGGAATACAGCATGAGGCGGACCTTATCTTATTATTATTACTTGTCTTACTGAGCCTTTATGTGTTGGTTTTGCCCTGGCCTACCTTCCTTTTTGTGAGCATCTTTCTTATACTTGGTTCACCATCAAGCCTTGTTGTTGTTGGCTGTAAGAGTGAGTTGCCATGTACCCTGCTGTTCAGTGTGTTTCTATATTAGCTGGCTAGAGCAGTAAATTAAAAACTGAATCAAGTGAATCTAACTGAAACCCAAAACTTGCTTCTTAATTCTTCTGTTTTCATTAGCTAAGTACTAGGTTGAATCTAGTGGTAATAGATAAAAATGGTCCAGTTAATTAGGATTTACTCTGATCTTTTCTATGTAATATGCTTGAATTAATTCAGTAAATACTGTTCAATCAAGCTTCAAGCTCCTTAGCACAGTTGGATGAAACCACCTGACACCACTTTTAAATAAACTTAATGCGTTATTGTTATACCCTTATGGGAGGACTGGATAAAGCAGATAACTCAGTGCCTGTTGTGGGTGACTGTTCTAGCCTTGCGCTGTTACCTTGAAAGAACACTTTGGCCTGTGAATTGAAAGCAGACCTGCAGAACATTTTTACGAGCCACTCTGAACTTGATTCCCCACCAAGGCTCTCCTGAATAGGTGGTGTATATGTGGTAAAACCAACTCCATGGTATAAACAAACAAATTTCATGAATTCTGAACACTGTACACAGCGAAACTGCATGAAGCCCACATGAAACTAAATTGCAATTGAGTTGAGCATAATGTAAAGCATTCTGCAACTCATTTGAAACTCAGCTGCAATAGTTGGAAGCGTCTCTCCTTTGTAAAACAAATTTTCATGAAACAGCCAATCAAGACACTGATAGTGTATGATATCACCACCACCATCATCATCATCATCACTTTTGTTCATATGGTGCTTTTCCCATGATCAAGGATGCTTTACAATCAGAAAGTATCAAAATACGTAATCAACAATACATAACACAGAACACATATACCTGCACACACACACACACACACACACTCCACTTTCACTGACCACAGTATAGAATTACTTAGCCTGCAAAGAGTCCTTAGCCACAGGGAAAAAGTCTTACACCGCAGCTAGGGTGCATCACACAGGAGGCTGGCCCGGGAAGCCTAGAAGGCCAAAAATGTCCTTAGCCACGAAGGGGTGGCATTTTCCTGCAGCCGAACATAATTAGTCTAGACAGCCTCACAGCTGCAATGCAGTGCCACCCAAACAGCCGGCCCAGGCAGCCAGGCAGCCGGCCCAAGAGGCCTCGTGGCTGTGGCGCAGAGCTGCTCATTCAGCCAAACACCACCAGTCCAGGCAGCCCCACAGCAGCAGTGCAGCGTCATCCAGGCAGCCAGCCCAGACTGCAATGTCACGTCAATCAGGTCCCCAGTCCAGAGAGCCCCGCAGAGTCTTTATCTTGGTGGGTATGATGGGAAACTCCTTGGCCAACAGGGAAACAAACGGTAGAAAACAAATGAAAAAAAACGATGAAAAGCTGTAGCCATATTGTGCCAGCGTACTTACAGAAGAGCACACATTTGCACATGCGCACCCTTTCCTCATATCACCAGATGAACAAACAAGATCAGTGAACAAGAAAATATAACAGTGAAAATCCAGCAGAAAAATGTATTCAATTTCAGTTTAGAAGGAGGCAAATACACTCTCTTTTTTAAGCTCAACTTAAACTGTTTTCTTGACCTAACTGAGACGAGACTACTTAAAAATGTGAGTTGTTTTTTTTTTTAAAGGGAGATTTTTTTTGTAAAAAGCTATACAGAAGATTGACTTAACATTTCGAAAATGTAACTTAAGTGATAACAATAATGTTAAGTTTGTATAGTCTCACTGTAATACGTAATACTGCATCTTGTTCACAGCAGGGGGGATATCAGCAAATTAGACATGGCTAAATATCTTTCAGTCTTTAAGATTGTCCCTCCTCCCACCCGATCGCCAGGTAAGCTGCATTATAGACTTAATCCATAGAAAAAACTCCCAACGTACCAAACACAAGTATAAAGCTGAACTTAAATTGGACGTCATGAATGTATGTTGGTGTGTTTTTTCAAAGCTCCTTGCTGATAACTCAAAACCTCTATGTGCAAATGAAAAAAAGCACTAGACCTATTAGCAAATAAAGGCATATAAAAATCATATATACACCTACATATTCAAACCATTGTAATTTTTACAGAATTTGATACACCATGGAGGCCAGTGGAATGGAGGTACGACCAGTGACTATAAACATTACATAAACAAACAAACTTTGGGTCCTTGATAGCCCACATGTCCCATAGATCAACTATTTTCCTGATACATCTGTAGATCAACTATTTTCTTTGTTTACCTTCTTAAAAAGTGAAGATAACAAAAATGAGATGTTGAGAAAACTGAAGGAATTCCAGCTCAGCACTCCAGACGTCAGTCAGCTCAGGATTCTGCTTCATGGCCCGATTGGAGCAGGAAAGTCCAGCTTCATCAACTCTGTCAACACCGTCCTCCAAGGCCGCAACACAACAGCTGCACTGGCAGATTCAGCAGCTGGTGGTGAAAGTCACAGCTTCACCGTGAAGGTAATAACAATAATACTGAATACTCAGTTCAACTCTCAGGCCTTATCATTCAAGCACACAAACTGTATGTACATTTTCACTTCTGACTTCACTGAATCCCAGAGATTATTAGCTCTTGTCTTGTCTACGATCCCAGGTAGGTTAGCTGGCCACTGTTGGACTGATGATGGCAAAGCTGGCGGTCTACTGGCTTTTTGCTCAGCGGTTTCCGGGCAGCTAATTGGTGGTTAAGCAGAGTGTTAAGCATCACTCATTTTCCACCCACAGTTCAATTTACTTATTTTTCCATCTTTCCTTTCTTTTGTTATCCTTTCTAAATTAGTTTAGTAAATAACTGTAACAGCAATATGATAAGTAAATTCAGTTATACATATATAACCAATGTGAGTGTGTGTGTGAATGTATATGTCTGTCTGTCTGCCCTGTGATGGACTGGTGACCTGTCCAGGGTGTATCCTGCCTTCCACCCAATGACTGCTGGGATAGGCTCCAGCTCCCGCCGCGACCCAGACGGATAAGCGGCTTAGAAGATGTGTGTGTGTGTGTGTGTGTGTGTGTGTGTGTGGGTGTGTGTATATAACCATCTAACACTGTCAACAACATTTTCAACAAAATCATTTTATATTAGGCCTAGTCATACAGATTTTTTCTCTCAGTTATTTGTAATGTTTGTATTAGTTTATTTTCCCAAATTAAAAGACTACGTTCATTTAAAATCTGTTTGAGCAGATTAAAAACTAGTTGGAAGTTGCAGGACAATAATTTGGGTGGTCTGAGAATGGACTAGCAATGGCAAGCCAGTTGACGATATATGCTTGCTATCTGGGTTAGTTGATCTTTCTTGGCAATGAATTCATTACTCCTCTGATGATCTGAAATAAACTTGTTGCATTGCTGCCACCCCACATTGCACCTTATTCAAAAAAAAATATTTTTATAAAATAATCTTTGGTATTTTGTACCCAGTTCAAATATCATAGGCTGAAGAAAGATGGGCCAGGATCTTTCTATCCGTTTGTCTTCACCGACATCATGGGTCTGGAACAGTCGAGCGGTGTCCACACAGAGGATGTAAAAAACATCTTAGATGGTCACATAAAAAATGGCTACACAGTAAGTTGATCAACATCCTAATTTATGATGCTCTACTTATTCATGATATTTTGAAGAAAGCCACCATGGAAACAGCACATGTATAAGAGATGAAATGCTTAATGTATAATCTAATTTTCCCTACTTACTACTGGATGAAGAAAAACTTTGTGCCGTTATTGGAATTTATAGTCTTTCATGGGTTTTTATAGCCATTGCTTAACTCTTTTAGGACAGCATAAAATCTGCTATGCTCCTTTAAAGTACCCTGTAACATTCTTTGCCAGGACTGAGGACACCAGGAGCAGGTGTGGAGACCGAGAGCTTGATTTATTCACACGTAACACAAAATCAATCAATTTTCAGCCCTCATGTGTTGCCTATGCCATGGCCAATCATTGCTATAAATAATTATGTCACAGTGTAGCCGAAGGATTCTGTTAATTATCCGCTGGAATGTCCCAGGCACTGCCAAACAAACCAAAAGGGGCGGTGACGAATTAGTGTAAGCCAAATGGTGTGGAGTAGGCCATTTTTTCCTGGGGTGCCGATATGTTGTGAAGAGGCACCAATACAAAGCGAGACCCACGTGCACTTCTGTGCAATGGTCCGACAAGGTCCATGCCAATTCTTTAGAAGTGGACCTTAATTAACGGGAGTGGGTGCAATGACGCTTTTGGGATGGCTAATGAGCCATTGGGAGGTTAATGAACTGACATTTGCAACATGACGCACGCCACCTGTGTACATCGCCGCCAATGCCCGGCTAGTAGAAACGGACCATTAGATGATTAAGTGTTTTCTTCTGCCCTAGATGCCCTGCCATGGGATTATTATGAGCTGCATGGAATAACATTTCCCCCGTGGCTCTTTGGAACCAACAATTGGGTTACAACTTTGGACGTTTCAGCATTCCACATCACTCTGTATAATTTATCTTTAATTATAGAAAAATAAGGACAAGAAAGAGGGATTCCTGACTTCACTGACCATCAATAACTTTCACAAGGTCAAAGGCGTGCTTCAGCATTTCGTAATGTGACTGCCCGAGAGGGAAATCTCCGAAGGGGGCCATGAGGGTGGTCCCCCATTTCTCCTTTCGGAGATTTCCCTCTCAGGCAGTCGCATTACGAGACGAAACTTACGTTCACCCCCACTGCTGTAGGAATCACTTTCCTATCCCCCACACACCGGAGCAGCCCTGGATGAATCTGGAAGCCTGTTTATCTCTAAAGTCATACATCTCCCCTCCCTTATAGTATTGCGGGACTCATTCTCTGCCAGAACTTTCACTAGTCCCCCAAACTGAGGCCAATTTGTCCCCAAAATTAGAGGATGTGAAAGGCAAGGACTAACTGCCGCCTTAACCTTGTTCTTTTCACCCCTAAATACAATGGTAATTGGCAAGAGGGGATAATCGCGCACATCCCCGCGGACACACTGCACCTACATCCGACATGCCCTCTCCAATGCCGCATCTTGAATCAAGCATTGGTGAATTGTAGTTTGATTACAGCCAGAATTCACCAAGGCTTGATAGGCCCTTGAATTCTCACTAGTATGCTGTATGTTCCAGCTCAATCAGGGGAAGTGGGTGGCAACGTGTGAATCTGGACCAGTGTCCCGACCTCTGTGTTGTGACACTGGTCCTGGAAATGCCCGGGCTCCCCACAGCACCAACACACTTACCTTGTGGGCTCAGCTGCCCTCACCTGTGCGGAGATAGAAGGGAGACCATGAGTAGCTGGCCACAAGGGTGTTACGGGGAGGGTGAGTGTAGAGAAGGGTTTAGGGGCTAGAGCTCCCTTTTTTCTGGGAGTGGGGGGAGCCATGTGTGCCTCTGCCAGCTTGGTGGCCTTGTCCAGCGATTCCGGTTTGTGGCACTGGACCGAGGCTGCCATCTCATCAGGAAGGCATGTGACGAACTGGTCCAGCACCACTGGATCGAGCCCTTCCTCGGAATTGCATTCTTCAGACAGTAGCCACCTCCTGCAGGAATAATGGAACATGAAGGGCCCTCTGAAGGACGCTTTTTGTCAGCTTGTCGTATTCCAGTCTGAGCAGGGAGCTGTTGGGTGGCCAGGTGGGCTTCCCCCGTAAGCAGGGGAAGCAGGCGGACTGCAAGGTCCTTCTTTAGCCACCCCCAGCCTTCCGCCGCTCTCTCGAAGAGCTCCAGGAATGTCTCACGGTCATCTTGTGGAGTCATCTTGGAGATGGAGATGGTAGCTGTAGCTGGAATACTTGCTTGTGTCAACAAGCTCCGCAGAAGCTTCCTGTCCACCTTCTGGCCTTGGGCCACAGGTCACTACATGAAAGAGAAAACATTGTCAAAAAGGGATCAGGCTAGAATCAAGGAACAAGAAGATGAGCAAGAAAACAAACCGTGAAGTCAAACACAGAAAAAAATGCTCCGTAGACTGACGCAATAATTTGCAAAGAGGCTACAGACACAAACAGGTTATATAGGCACTACAACCGGTGTCAACAATCAATAATCAGGTGAGCAGGAGCGTGGGTAGGTGGATGGTTGAGAGTCTGTGTTCATGTGATCCCCCAGAGGATTCTGGGAGTTGGAGTTCTAAACGAAGTGAAGAGTGTTAGTCTCTGCTTAGCCGGTGGGAGGCGTGACAATATGCATGGCTATGCAGATTGCTTCCTGCTCTCTAAACCTGGTCTCAAACCTCATGCTACCTTTAGAGAATAGGGGCAACATTGGGACTGTGACTCTTTATATATGAATGGATTGAGCAGATGAGATGCTTAAATGCTGTCTTCTGGTGCTAATGAGGACAGTGCAGTGTGTAGTGTTTGGTATATATTACATAGTATAGCTCTACACAGCAGCATAGGTTGTACCTCAGATTACTTTTCATCTTCCAAAATATGAGACAGTGGAGATTTTTACTGGAAACAAACATGTGCTGAAGTGTAAAAGGCTGGGTTATTCTAAGCTACCTAGTGCTTGGTCAGTACATCACTAGCTTAGCCAGTCTAGGATTCTAAAAGTCTCAACCTAAATACCTTTTTTGACTGCTTATTTGATGGACATGGAATATAAATTTGACACCACTGCAATTCTACATGCCACTTTTTTAAAGATCTGTTTAGCTTAAAGTTAACTACACAGTCTTAACATCTCAAATATGAAGCTAGCTATTTTAGCACAGGCATATTCTAGAGCCCTATATTTCCTTGTTGCTTTGTCATAATCCTCTCATTGGCATATGGACTGTGATAGGTTCCAGTTTGTTTGTGACATATTAATGTAAAAAAAAGAGAATGTCTGTTTTTCAATGGAAAAAAATCAACCTTTCTAATTATAATAAGCCATCCAGGAGGGGTGGCTAGCAAATAGTATGTCAAAGTTGGGCTACGGCCAGTAATTTTAAACCTACAAAAAAGCACTGATATGGTTGGTGTACTTGATAAAATGACCAGTGAGTCTGAGCATTTTATGTAGTTTATACCTCCATACTTCACTTCTTAGTTGCCTTTCATCTTGACTTAGACTAAGGCTTGGATACAACGAATGCTAAGGCCTAATCCCATGCCTTATTTTTACCCCTTCCCTTGTTTTTGAATGTTACCTTGCCCCTTGGAACTGAGTTACAAGGGGTGGTGGTTGAAATCACCTACGAAATGGGACCCTCAAGTAAACACAATATTACTTCATTAACAGCTACTAGCGCTGCTCTGTAGGCGACCCTGCCAGTCTGCAGTGATAGCAGAGGAGGGTAAAGTTCAGCTCCTCACTGCTGAGCTTTAGTTAAATTTAGGGAATCATATGCCTTCAAAGAGGGATGGGGGGGGGCAACCCTAATTCTTGATATGAAACTGAAGTCAGCTATTCGCCAGCTTTATGTTGGAAATTTTTTTTAACAATTTTTTTTACAATACAGTCCATGCAGTCTGTATATGGAAATTGTCATGTCACGAAAAAACAGATTAAATTTTTCTTCCTACTCGCCAGCAGTAGTTTACCTATTTCCCAGGAAGTCATGAGGAGTGTTTAAACCTGGACTGTTTTCCGAGTGAGATAAAATACAGGACTGCCAATGGTCAGCCAGTCAGTACACAGCTTGTTTTAAAGTCATCAGTCTTAAAGGCGCAGTAAAAAAAAGGGATAAAAAGAGGTTAGAAAATGGTAATGCAGAAATGATTTATGACTTTTAGTACATAAAACCACACAAACCTCTTAAGTGGCTGCCTCAGTGTAATGCAAATAAAATACAAGAAAAATGTAGGATGTAGGCCCTTTTAAAGGTTTAAAGCCTACTTTAAATTCAGTCTTTGAATTAGTTTCTTCTACCTCACCACTGACCCTGAAGATCATTATATCATATCATGACAATTCATTTCTCTGTTTTTTTCAGTTTAATTCTGCTGGTCCAATTGAGGAAGAAAACTCATACTACAACAGCAGCCCCAGCCTGAAAGACAGAGTTCACTGTCTGGTGAGTGTTCTACCAGCACACAAAATCTCAATCAGCTCCGATGAAGTGATCTACAAGATGAAGGAGGTTCGGCAAAAAGCACGTGACTTGGGTGAGTCTTTGCTCACTGACGCAAAATCATTTCTAATATACTGTCTGTCACGAAAATAATTACAGTGCCACTGTTGTTTTGAATATGTTGAGCAGTATTGCATCTTGTTATATTAGAGATTAACGTTGAACTCTAAATGAGATACAAAACTGTTTTGCATGGTGTTTGACAGGAATTCCCCAGGTCACCATCATGACCATGGTGGATGAAGCATGTCCACTAGTTAAACATGACCTGGAAAAGATTTACACCAGCAAGAAAATCAAAGACAAGGTAAATACATCTTTTTCTCCTGTGTTACCTGCTCCACCTCTATTGGTCTTCCTCCTCTGTCAAGTAGCTACCATTCATTCTTCATGAGCAACTGGATAGGAGTGACTGTAGTAAGAGTGTTGGTATGTGTTAGAGGCTAATGTACAATATTGTACAAAAGTAAGAAACCAGTCTTTTGTTTATTTTTTTGCAGTCAAAATGGTCATTAAGTAAAAATAATACTAATAATAACCCAGTTCCCCTGGGACAGTTTAGGACAGAAAGCAGTGATTAGCAAATTCTGCTTGACCTATATTAAATTGAAAACAGTTGGAAAACACAATATTTTATGTTTCATCTTACAAATGTCATTGTTTTGTGTATCGCCTTTCCTTTCAACAACAAACATAAATGTTTGTGGATTAAAAACACCAAAAGACCCAGTTTTAAAAGCTTTTTGATTTTCTTTCTTTGTTTTGCTTTGAAAATTTTTTGCCATTCTTCTATTATACAAGTCTTCAGCTGTGCAACCGTACAGGGCCTTTAGTGTCGTATTTTGAGCATAATAAGACATTTCTAAGGGAGACAGTTCTGGATTGCAGGCAGGTCAGTCTAGCACCTGCACCACTGATTATGCAGCCATACTGTTGTAACACGTGCAGACTGTTTCTTGCCGCTGTCATGTTGAAATAAGCATCGACATCCCTGAAAAAGATGTCATCTATGCGTCAGTGGTGCTTTCACAGATAAGCAGGCCTTATGATTTCTATGCAGTAAAAATAATTTTTAGTTTTGGTTTGCAAGAGTTGCAGTACTACTGTTTTTTCATTGTTCAGCTTTGGATGGAAACAAAAGGGTTAAATTTAAATGCTGAGCAGAAAAAGGGCCAATCATGTTAGAGTTGCCATTAAGTTAGCACTAACAAACTACTAGAATTCCATAGGGACTAAGGCCTAGCTCTGTTAGTCACAGTGCACCACTGACTGCAAGATTTTCTGATAGAACAGAGTGTTTTTGGTGGATTATCTGCTTTGTGTTTTGTCTCCTTTTTAACTTTGCTTAAATATAGATGCAACAGCAGGAATAAAAATGATCATCTTAACCTCATCATGAAAGAAGCTACAGAACAAAATTCTCTTGCGTTTGTCCTACAGATGCAAGAGTGCAGTGACAGATTGGGGGTCCCAATGAATTATATCTACCCAGTGAAGAACTACTACGAGGAGGTTACCAATGACTTACACCTGGATGTCTTGATTCTGTTGGCTATGAAAGACATCATTATGTTTGCCAATGACTATGTAGAAGAACAGATTTATTTTACATATTTTTAGCCAATGAGGGAGAATCTTATGAAGTGAGTATAGTTTCAGGAATGTGCATATGAGCAGATCAGTCTGACATTTCTGCATTTGCCCACCAAGGATGTAATTATAGTAACATTCAACGAAAAAACCTTTCAATTTGCTTCATAAGTAGCTTTTTCTATTGTTACTGCTACAATACTATGGTATAATAATAAAAATGCTGATTTTCAGTAGCGCTCTCCCCTCCGGGATTTTTGCAATACTATGTTAGCACCAAGTTATTATTAGTATTTATATATATTCACACTTTGAGACAGCTGTAGCTTAAATATTGTATTTGTTTTATTTAATGATTTAAGACATAAATCCATTTTGCTATAAAAATTTGTCTGTAAGGCTATACAGTCATTAATATAATCTCAAGATAAACATGCAAAGACATATATTGAGTTTTCTTATGGAGTGAACAATAGTTTTTTTTTTTTTTTGAAAAGTCATGTATACTTGTATACATGTATACAACCCCAAACCAGAAAAAAGTTGGGACGGTATGTTAAATTTCAATTAAAAGTGAAAAAAGTGATTTGAAAAATATTTTTGACCTCTTTAACATTGAAAACAATACAACAGCACATTATTTGATATTTTACCTGAATGAAATTTACACTTCAATTTCAATTTTCATTCTTGCAACATTTTTCCAAAAAAGTAAAGCATGTACCACTTTGTACTGTTGCCATTCCTATTCACAACAGGACTGAAGATACCAAGTGATGAAGCATTTCAGATATAATTTTGTCCCATTCTTCTTGCAAAGTTTTAACGTGTGCAGTATAGAGTAAGGGGTCTTCATTGTAGCATTTTGTGTTTTAAAATGTGCCACACATTTTTGTTTTGTTTTGTCTTTTTGAAATATGCATGGCTTTCCCTGGAAAAGGCAGCATGTGTTACTCCAAAATGTACTTTTTGGTGCCATCACAGAAGCGTAAGTTACCTTTGGAAAGGGCACTGACACAACCCCACACCATGACAGACCCTGGCTTTTGGTCTTATCACTTTTCATCGCTGATCCAAAACATACGGCATACATTTCTTCCAAAAAAGATGTGAAATAACAATTTCTATGACCACAATACACTTTTCCACTGTGTGATGGTCCATCCAAGCCCAGAGAAGTCGGCGGTGCTTCTGGACATAAGGCTTCCTTTTGGCACAATAAAGTTTTAACTGACATTTGTGGATGTAACTACATACTGTAGTGCTTGACAAAGCCCATGTGGTTATATCACTTATAGATGAATGACAGCTCTTGATGTAATACCGTCTGAAGGATTGGAGAGCAGTTATTCAGCTTAGACTTGTGGCCTTGCCCTTTACGCACTGAAATTCATCCAGATTCCTTTAATGTTTTAATAATGTTATGCGCCATAGAAGGTGAAATTTTCAAATTGCTTCCTATAGGTCTTTGAGGAACATTGTTTTTAAACATTTCAATAATTTTCACGCGCATTTGTTGGCAAACTGGCGGTCCTCGGCCCATCTTTGTTCCTAAAAGACTAGGCCTTTGCCGGATGCAGTTTTAATATCAAATCATGATTACAGTCACCTGCTGACATCACCTGTTTCAAATCACAGCATTATTTAATTATTTTACCTCATTACTAGCCTTAAATTGTCCCAGTCCCAACTTTTTTTGGAATGTGTTGTAGGCCTGAATGGCAGGAATGGATGTATATTTACAAATAAAATGAAGTTGACCAGATAAAACATGAAATGTCTTGTGTTCAAATTGACTGCAATGAAATACAAGTCAAGGCAAATTTTGGAATCACTCTTTCTTTTTTATATTTGCATTTTTATTTCCATATCATCCCAACTTTTTCTGATTTATGGTTGTATATATGCAGGTTTTTGAAAACCATATAATGTTATATTCTCAAATTTTCATACTTTTTCATTACTGTTTTGAATGTAATTACACTGTAAAAAGTGGCTCGTCAGATCAACCTAAAAATTTACTTCATGTGGTAGTAAGCAACTGAACAAGTTTTACTCAACTCAAAAAATCACATTGATTGAAAGAATCTTTCTTCTTATTTAGATTGAATAAAACTAGTCAATTTACTTGCTACCACATGAAATAATTTTAGGTTGATCTAATTAGCCATTTTGTACATGTATATGTCCATTTTAAAGTGGTAATACAATCATTATAAATAGCCTGTGTGTATTATTTTTAGGATTATTAGTATTATACATGTTGTTTTTTATGTTAATAAATACATTACACTGTAAAAATGGCTCATCAGATCAACCTAAAAAATTACTTCATGTGGTAACAAGTAGATCAACTAGTTTTATTCAACCTAAATAAATACTTTGAACGAAAGATTCTTTCAATCAGTGTAATTTTTGAGTTGAATCAAACTAGTTCAATTGCTTATTACAACTTGAAGTAATTTTTTAGATTGATCTGATGAGCCATTTTTTACAGTGTAGTTAATGTTAGTTTGTCACCACTTATTGTAAACTTAACATCTCTGATTTACTGGACTCATGCTTGCAACCAGTAACAGTGAGGAACAGTGTCAATCGAATAAAAATTATAACAGCAGAGTTTTTCCCATGTTCTTTATCAGTAAGTATTCTAAATATATTCTAAACGTATTACGAATATGTTACTGTTTTAATGTATTTGAATGTAATATGTTGCCGAATATATTTAGGACAGTGTACTCAGCCATCACTACTTTTTCAAAGTATTCTGCCCAGCTCTGGCTGTATGACAAATGCCACAATGGTTGATGTGATGACAGCTTATGTTACACACTGATTTTTGCTAATTGTACTCTAGTGACATTTGGTTACATGACACAAATAACAACATCTCTCGTGGCAACTCATGACAGCATATGATCTGAAATCTGCCATGGCATGTTTATGTTAATGTTAAACAAAGTGTTATATAAAGTTTGTTTGGTTGCATAAAGTTCTTGCATTTTTTTATTGAAATCCATGATATGATGTGCCCAGCCCTGGAGTTGGTGTGGAACCTATATTACTGAAAGTGAAAGTAAAGCCCCAGTACATAAGTGAAAGTAAAAGCCCAGTTATAGCTACCATTTTCTCAGTGAAACACATTCGTGCGCAGCTGGAGGAGCAGAACACAGTATCAACAGTTTTGAGCAGCTTGATTTCTGATCATTCTAAGGTAAGTGAATGTAAAGTTCTTGTGTAATTAGAAAGCAAAGGTGGCCATATAATCAGAAATGGTTGGCTGTGGTTCTTTATGTTAAATTACAAGTCAGCAGTGCTTTTACATTATTACTGATTCTGTTATGAATCCTAGGAGGAGCTTTGCATTCATTGTTGAATGTCAAAAATGACCTAATTCGATTGTTGAAATGTAAACAAAGTGGTTCGATGTGAAATGGTGCATTGTAGAAAAAATGACTGACTACCTTACTGTTTTTTTTTGCAGTACGATTATAGGAACCAACGTTCTAAATATAGCGCTGCAAACTCCTCTCCATCATGAGTTTATTTAAAAATGGATGTTTAAACCACTGAATGAGTTTGGTTACATCTTAATCATTGAATTATGCAGGGCTTTTGAATCAGGCTTTGAATTCAAGTAACCAGAGTTACTGTTTTAAGATGAAAAAGAAAACAGAAAGGTGGGGACTGTTACAGTATAAGCTATTTATACATAATACAACCCAAAGATTTTATTTTCATTTGATTGTCATTTGTCATTCACTTATATGATAACAATAAGGTTAAGTTTGCGTAGTCTCACTGTAATAAGTAATATTGCATCTTGTCCTTAACAGGAGGACACCAGCATATTGGACATGGCTGGATGGTTTCGGTCCTCTAAAACTGTCCCTCCTGCTGCCCCATTGCCAGGTAAGCTGCTTTATATACATAATCTATATATACAACTCCCACCACACCAAACACAAGTATTCAGCTGAACTTGAAATTGGGTGTCATGAATGCATGTTGGTGTATTTTTTATACAATCTATAGACCTATAAGTGAACAAAAGGCACAGTTTCATATAAACACATACATCCTGAAACCACTGTGGTTTTTACAGAATTTGATACACCATGGAGGCCAGTGGAATGGAGGTACAACCAGTGACTATAAACATTACATAAACAAACAAACTTTGGGTTCTTGATAGCCCACACATCCCATAGATCACCTATTCCCCTTGTTTATTTTCCTAAATAGTGAAGATAACAAAATTAAGATGTTGAGGAGCCTGAAGGAATTCCAGCTCAGCACTCCAGACATCAGTCAGCTCAGGATTCTGCTTCATGGCCCGATTGGAGCAGGAAAGTCCAGCTTCATCAACTCTGTCAACACCGTCCTCCAAGGCCGCAACACAACAGCTGCACTGGCAGATTCAGCAGCTGGTGGTGACAGTTACAGCTTCACCGTGAAGGTAATAACAATAATACTGAATACTCAGTTCAACTCTCAGGCCTTATCATTCAAGCACACAAACTGTATGTACATTTTCACTTCTGACTTCACTGAATCCCAGAGATTATTAGCTCTTGTCTAAATATGATCCCAGATAGCAAGAGGTTAGTTGGCCACTGTTGGACGGATGATGGCAAAGCTGGCGGTCTACTGGCTTTTTGCTCAGTGCTTTCTCGGCAGCTCATTGGTGGTTAAGCAAAGTGTGAATTTACTTATTTTTCCATCATTCCTTTCTTTTGTTATCCTTTGTAAATCAGTTTAGTAAATAACTTTAACAGCAATATGATAAATAAATTTAGTTATACATCTATAACCAGTCTAGTACTTTCAGTAAAAATAACAAAATGATTTTATGCTAGGCCTAGTCATACATATTTGTCTCTCAGTTGTTTGGAACATTTGTATTAGTTTATTTTCCCAAATTAAAAGACTATGTTCATTTAAAATCTGTTTGAGGAAATTAAAAACTAGTTAGAACTTGCAGGACAGTAATTTGGGTGGTCCGGGGGTGGACTACCAGTGGCATACAGTCAGCAGGGTGCTGACCTTATCAAGCCAGCAGATGGATATATGCTTGCTATCTGGGTTAGTTGATCTCTCTTGGCAATGAATTCATTACTCCTCTGATGAACTGAAATGAACTTGAATAATCTTTAGTATTTTGTACCCAGTTCAAATATCATAGGCTGAAGAAAGATGGGCCAGGATCTTTCTATCCGTTTGTCTTCACTGACATCATGGGTCTGGAACAGTCAAGAGGAGTTCGCATAGATGATATAAAAGACGTCTTAGAAGGTCACATAAAAAATGGCTACACAGTAAGTTGATCAACATCCTAATTTTTGATGCTCTACTTTTTCATGATATTCTGTTTTAGCTAATGTTGAACTACACAGTCTAAACATCTCTAACATGAAGTTAGCTATTTCGGCACAGCCCTACGGTAACATATGTGACACAAACACCAACCTTTATAATTATAATAAGACATCCAGGAGGAGTTAACCATTAAGTGAGTGCAGGAGGTCTTTAAAAACATGATGTCTCAACGCTGCTGCAACAAAGCTTTATCCAAAATGTGTCTGTTCCATTTGTGCTACAAACTACCTTCTTGAGAAATCAGCCACAAAAGTAGTAATATATAAGGGGTATACAAAGTACTAGCAGTGGTCCTGTGGTGGTCCCTTTCCATTCATGGACCAAGGAAGAGGGTGGCTAACAAATAGTACACCAAAGCTGGGCTACAGTCAGTCATTTTAAGCCCTTATATGGTTGGTGCACTTTATAACATGACCAGTGAGTCCAAGCATTTCATGTAGTGTTTCCCCCGTACTTCAACCTTCAGTTGCCGTGCATAATGATACGCAGTGTGGCCAGCATGGACGTGTCTCAACATACCATTCACTCAACAGGCCATGCAGTCTATATATGGAAACTGACATCATGAATAACAAATTATCATTTTGTTTCCTACTCAGCCGACAGCAGTTTAGCTCCGCCTATTCCCCCAAGAAGTCATGAGGAGTGTTTAAACCCGGTCTGGTTTCTGAGTGAGATACAATACAAGACGGCCAGTGATCAGCCAATCAGATCAGAGCACAATTTTTTATTAGTCTTAAAGGCACAGTACCAAAAACATTTAAACATTTAATTGTAAGAGATTAAAAGAGGTTGGCAAATGGTCATGCAGAACTAATCTATGACTGTTTGTAGTCCCACACAAACCTCTTAAGTGGACCTCAGTGTAAAAAAAAGAAAAATGTAGAATATAAGCCCCTTTTAAGGTGTAAAGCTTACTTTAAATTCAGTCGTTGAAGTAGTCCATTCTACCAAACTACTGACTCTGATGTATTATTACAATTCATTGTTCTGTTTTTTTTTCAGTTTAACCCTGCTGGTTCAATTGAGAAAGACAGCCGATACTACAACAGCAGCCCCAGCCTGAAAGACAGAGTTCACTGTCTGGTGAGTGTTCTACCAGCAAACAAAATCTCAATCAGCTCCGATGAAGTGATTAAGAAGATGAAGGAGGTTCGGCAAAAAGCACGTGACTTGGGTGAGTCTTTGTTCACTTACACAAAAGCTATAATAATCCAGCTGATCATTTCTAATATACTGTCTGTGATTAAAATAATTATACTTTCACTGTTGTTTTGAATATGTTGAGCAGTATTGCATCTTGTTATATTAAAGATTATGTTTGAACTCTAAGTATGATACAAAACTGTTTTTGATGGTGTTTGACAGGAATTCCCCAAGTCACCATCATGACCATGGTGGATGAAGCATGTCCACTAGTTAAACATGACCTGGAAAAGATTTACACCAGCAAGAAAATCAAAGAGAAGGTAAGTAGAGCTTTTTCTCCAGTTAAATGATCCACGTCTATTGGTCTTTCTCCTCTGTCAAATAGCTACCATTCAGCTAATATAAGAAATTCACTGCTTCTTCAGTAGCAGCTGGGTAGGAGTGACTGCAGTAACAGTGGTGGTAGGTATCAGTGGCTAATATACATCCATTAAGTAAACAGACAAAAAATAAATAAAAAGCAGGAATAATATACAAACCCACTTCCAAAAAAAATTAGGACAGTATGTGAAATGCTAATAAAAACAGCAGTGATTAGTAAGTCCTGCTTGATCTGTATTAATTGTAAACAGTACAGAAACACAATATTTTATGTTTCATTTTATGTAAATGTCCACCCTTTTTAACACTGACTTATTGCTGAAATATAGATGCAACAGCGGGAATAAAAATGTGGCTCTTAACCTGGTAATGAAACAAGCATACAGCAAAATTCTGTTATGTTTGTCCTGCAGATGCAGGAGTGCAGTCACAAATTGGGGGTCCCAATGAACTGTATCTACCCAGTGAAGAACTACCACGAGGAGGTTACCAATGACTTACATCTGGATGTCTTGATTCTGTTGGCTATGAAAGACATCATTATGTTTGCCAATGACTATGTAGAAGAACAGATTTACCCAGAATAAGGTCCTAAAATGTTTGGCCAATGATGGAGATATTATGCAGTGTGACTAGTTTCAGAAATATGCATATGAACAGAAGAGTCTGTCTAGTTAGACATCCTTCTACAGATTTCAGCTACAGCTTTTTAGGGTCATTTTTTTACAGGTATTCAGATATGAAACACAGCTAAATGCTCTGCAATTTGGCTTTGCTAATGCTAATGCTTGGAGGAGACTCTCTAACAGACACCTGTGGTTGTCATCAACATCAGGTTTTTGCATGTCCAAATGGTAGAATTCCCTGTTATGATAATTGTATTAATTCAATGTATTTGCTTTATTGCTTGCAGAGTGTATGACTATGTACGGGCAAAAGGTCATGGACAAAAAACCTTGTCCTCCCACTGATAGCTGCCTAGATACAAAAACAGGATGTATCCTCATATAGCGATTGACCTCGGTTATCTGTCTTACACCCCCCTAATACTTCTGCTTTAAATAAGACATTCTAATCAGGGCATCTCAGGTCATGCATGTACAGCATGACCAGAAGATGCTGCATGTACTCACAACCCTATATGACTATATTAACAGAAATCTGCCGAAGACTGGTAACAGCAGCTGTCAAACCTCCCCTTATTTGGTACCTAGCCAACACCCAGTTAGGGGTATAAAGCCCCTATGTAAGGGAGACCACTTCAGAGCACGCTCTCATCTCTTCACTCTCTGGTCTGTATCACTTTCATTTCCTAAATAAATAACTCTTGCTTATTCAAAACTTGTGATTCATTCTGTTGTCAGGATTTCCATGACAAAACTTTGGGGACATCCATGACATCCCAAAAGCAAAATTCTTATTCAAAAGTGGCAATAAAATCCTTATAAACAGCTTTTGTGTATAATTTTTAGGAGTATTAGTATTAGTATTATTGTACATTTAGTGTTTTTAATGTTAACAAATACATTAGTTAATGTTAGTCACCGCCTATTGTGAACTGTTACTAATCAATGTGAGGAACAAGTTATTTATCTCAGCATTAATGAGCTCTGATAAGCTTTTAATCTCAGTGTTACTGAGCTCTGCTAAAGCCTGAGTGGACTGATAAATCAATGTGTTTATCAATTCTTAATCTCAGCATTACTGAACTTGGCTAAAGCCTGAGTAGACTAATAAATCAATGTGTTTATCGGTTCTTAATCTCAGTGTTACTGAGCTCTGCTAAAGCCTGAGTAGACTGATAAATCAAGGCGATGATCAGTTCTTAATCTCAGCGTTACTGAACTCGTCTAAAGCCTGAGTAGACTGACAGATCAATATGATGATCAGTTCTTAATCTCAGCGTTACTGAGGGATGATGGAACAGAACAGTCTCCACAGTAGTGGAGAAGTGCATGAGTGATAAGCTTAGCATCTCTGTTTTACTGGACTCATGCATGCAACCAGTAACAGCGAGAAACAGTGTCCATTAAATAAAAATTACAAAAGCAGAGTTTTTGTCATGTGCTTTATTAGTAAGCATTCTAAATGTATTCTGAATATTTTTGATATAATGTTTGATGTGGTGATAGCTAATTTCACAAGCTGATTTTTGCAAAGTGTACTCTAGTTAGCCATTACATGACAGAAATGACAATATCTCTCATGACAACTCATGACAGCATATGACATCTGCCATGACATGGTTATGTCAATGATAAACTGTGCCCAGCCCTGGAGTTGGTGTGGAATCAATATTACTGAAAGTGAAAGTTAAGCCCCAGTACATAAGTGAAAGTAAAAGCCCAGTTATAGCTACCATTTTCTCAGTGAAAAACATTCGTGCGCAGCTGGAGGAGCAGTGCACAGTATCAACAGCCCTGAGCAGCTTGATTTCTGATCATTCTAAAAGGTAAGTGAATGTAAAGTTCTTGTGTAATTAGAAAGCAAAGGTAGCCAAATAATCAGAAATGGTTGGCTGTGGTTCTTTATGTGAAAAATGACCTAATTCTTTATGTGAAAAATGACCTAATTCAATTGTTGAATTCTAAACAAAGTGGTTCGATGTGAAATGGTGCTTCCTTACTGTTTTCTTTATAGTACGATAATAGGAACCCAAGCCCTGTTTTATGGTGGAAAAAAAAAAACCAGAACAGCATCGACTGTTACAATGTGAGCTTTTTACACATAATAAATTTTAGGTAAGGAATCTAATCAGCCTTACAGTATGTTATTAGTGTTTCAGTTATGCTTATTTATGTTGTAGCAAAGGAAAAATAAAAGTAACTGCAGCATCCTGTTGTGTGTCCTAAATTCTCCTATATCAGTTCCTCAGAGTAATTCTGGACATCCTAGACCCGGTCTGTCATAGATAAGGCCATATTAGGTCAGCTCTTGCCATACATGTTTGAAAAAAAGTTCTCGATGACTTCAAATGACTAGTTACTAGTGCAACTGGTTCCCAAATATATAAACACATAAGTAAAAAAAATCAGCTGGACATCACATAAAGGTATTGAGTTATGTTAATAATATTAATAGTGTGGACACCCCTCATGACAATTGAGTTCAGATATTTCAGCCACACCCATTTTTAACAGTGTATAAAATCAAGCTTATAGCTATATAATCACCATATACAAACACTGGCAGTGGAATGAGTTCTAAAGAGGAGCTCAGCAACTTCAAACATGGTACTGTCATGGGATGCCACCTTTGCTATAAGTCAGTTCATGATATTTCTGCCTTGCTAGATCTGCTCCGGTCGACTGTAAGTGTTATCACTGTGAAATGAAAGCGTATAAGAGAAACAGCGACTCAGCCATGAATAGGTAGACCATGCACAGAGCAGAGATGCTCATTTCATTCATTTTGGATTTCTGTTTAGGAATGGGATGTCCAACAAGCTCATACAGGTGTGATGGTCAGTTGTCCACATATTTTTGGTCATATTTCTTGAATTTACTGTATGACGTCTTCCAGATTCTCTCTCTTGACCTGAGCTGAACAGAGCATTTTTGTTCTGAATCAACCCACTACTTCTGGGCGGAGCCAGGTCACGGATACAGAGAGCCCATATATTTGGGCATATATTTGGCCCAAAACAGAATTGCGGTCAGCGAGATTTGACAAGATCCAGAGTTTTGGATTTCAGCCAAGTGGGGGGCACTGTGGGCAAGAGTATTCAAATGAATATGCATGTATGACATATCTAGCATATTACTTTATAGATACATAGTTTTTGGACTGTATAACATCCGTGGGAAGGGATCTGATAGTAAGAGCTGATATTAAAGCTGGGAAACTAGATTTCTGGAGAATCTCGGGGGTCCTCGCTAAGTGAGGGGGTTTCTGGTCAATAGAAAAGGGGGGGTTCCTGTCTGGGTTCCTGGTGTGTGTGAGAGGGACCCTTGAGTGTGGATCAGAAATTTGGATTTTTGTCCTGTCATTAGTTGTCAATATCTATTTTTGGAGCTACAGATAGCCCCTTTTGAACAATGAAGGCAAAGGTGGGTGTTAGTTGTGGGGGCTTGTTGAACAGATCTAAAGTCTTTGGAATTCAGGGTCCTCAAAGAGAGGGAGGATAACTCATCCAGCTAGCTTGAGAGACAAAGAAAAACAGGAAACAAGACACAGATGTTCACTCTGAGGAAGGAAACCAAAGAGAGGAAACCCAGGCAGGGTGGGGAACTAAATGCGGCCAGTTAAGTTATGATCTACTTTATAGGGAGGAGGTTCAGTGTGATTTTCTGTGTGTAAAGAAAAAGCTCAAAGATTAGGAGGAAAGCAAGAAGTTTGTCACTGAACTACCAGAGCTAACCTCATTTTTTCAGTCAGAACAGAGTGCTGCACAGGCCAGACAAAATTCTACCATTAATACTACTATAGATAGATCCAGTGATGAGGTAATTGCTCAAAAAAGTAATCCATCAAGTTACTAATTATTCTTTGTTATTCTGTACCAAATCATATAATATACAATATTTAATATTGCTAATATCAAGCAATATTTTTCTTAAAACAAACAATATATATATATATATATATATATATATATATATATGTATATGTAGAATAAGTTGATCTTATAATATTCTTACAATATTACAACCAGGGTTGGGATAGCTACTGAATAATAGAAAAAGTAGTGGCTACTTTTTAGCAACTTTTTGAAAAGCAGTGCACTACTTTTCAGCTACTTTTTAGCTACTTTTTATTGTCAGAATGTTTGTGAATCTCCACCTGACACACCAAACAAGTCCAACTGATAGTGTGAACAATACACTGCATGTAATCATGTGCCAGAAAGAAAAATATCCCCAAACAATTTAGACTAAGTAAAGCCAAAGTCAATCATTGCAAGTTTTTCCTAACAAAAATCAACAAAAATAACTGAATACAAACCAAATGATTTTGTGCAAAACATTGTCAACTGTTGAAATAAAACTACTCCAATTTAAGCATTTCAGCAAGATGTACAAACATGACATTCATCATTGACCCTGGCCCTGTTTGGGGTGAGAATCAGGCCTGCGCAGCTGAATAATCTCTCCACTGCTGCAGAGCTGCTGCGGCTCCACAGCAGAACTAGATTTTTAGGTAAGATAAGATAACTTAATTTTCTTTTGCTGTAAAATCGTTACACCACACAGTTCTAACACAGTTTTCACAATAAATGGTCTTAAACCATTTTAAGTTAACACATAACTGCTAATTCACCAACCTTTAACGCTGAAGATTGACGCGCATACTGTTGGACACACAGCAATGCAGATAACGAAATGGCAGAGAGAAAGATTTAAGATGAATATCGATAATTTGGAGAAGAACAGACTTATTCGCATTTATAATCACTCAGCTGGTTTCCTGATATGTTTAATCTGCAGCAACTCGTGAAGCCAAAGTCAGCTTCTCATTCTCCAGCTTCTCCTTCGAATTCTCCCGTTCCACCTTAAATGGTGCAGCAGTACAATCTGGCGCCTCAGGCACCATTTAAGGTGGAATGGGAGAATTCGAAAAAGAAGCTGTTGAATGAGAAGTGACTTCAGCCTCGTAAAAAAAACAAACGTTGAGAGGCATTTTACAAGAAACTCACGGAAAGGTTTCCTGACTGAGGTGCGATAAAAGCGGCTATAATTGAGTAAAAGCTTAAAGCAGAGCAAAGTGTGTCTGTGTTTGCGTCTATATTATATTTTTAGCCTGAACTAGTACATTAGCACATACTGAGACATATTTGCAGCCAATATGGTAAAACAGACATAAAATGTTGTGGCTTACAAGGTGGTTTCATTTTTGTTGAAAAGACAAAATGGTTCTTCTTAACATTTCGGTTGCCGACCACTGAGCTAGGCCTACTTGTAAGGGGCGATCAGCTCATTTGCTCAAACTGTCCGCAGCTCAGTCAGGATTGCACGACCGTGTTCTGTGGTTCAGATTTTGTGTGGATTGCCTGAAACCTGTAGCGAAATTGTAGCAAAAATTATCGTTATAGCTACACAAAAAAATTGTAGACGCTACAGCTATTAGCTACAAAAATGTTTATTTAGCTACAAAAAGTAGTGTGCTACTTAGCTACTCCTCCTTCCTTGCTTACGACAGTCTAAAAATGAAAAATATTAGATATTTAAGCTAGAATTAAGATGATTTCATTTTTTTCACTTGGGAGCCTAAAGCCTCAACTAATTTAAAAAATGGGCATCCAGGGGGCCCCCGTTCCTATTTTTTGCCTAGAGCACCAGAATTGCTAAATCTACTCTGACGCCAAAATAGGACAACTGGCAAAAGTCTTGCAAAAGTCTTTATGCAACCAGGGCAGAACAATGCAGATCCTTCTAAATGACAACAAATAAACTATGAATAATTAAACTTTCTAGTTTCTAGCTTTGTATAAAACAAGCCCCAGACTGTGCAGCCTTAATACAATGAGTATTTTTACATGCACATAATAATATATTTTCTATCATCTATTGATTTCTGCAGTTATTTGATTATTTGAGCACTCATGTAAACAGCATACACTGATTTCTTAGATCAGATTAAGGCCTAGAATCAATTAAGAAATCCCATAAAGAGAGTTGGATTTAAGATCAGCAATTGGGTTGTTTCTGTGCGTGTATACCCTTACTCTGATTTCTTTCACTTTTCTCAATCTGTGCATGTGCAAAAACAGACCGCAAATAGCAAGCAGCATTTAAAAAGGCACCTACAAAATAGCAACAAATCACTTTTGGAGAGACATTGAAACCAACTGCATGCTTGATGATGCATATTGATATTTTTTGATGAACTCACTTAAAACTGATGTCTTAAAACATTATGTTTACATTATGTCTTCTTCTGTGAGTTTATTGTTGGTTTGCAAGGGGTGAAATCTGATTATTGCCTGACTCATGTAGACCTGCTGTGATATCACTAAAATATTCCCTGACCACTAAAACTAAGCAGCCACATATAGGCCCTTCAAACATTTGTGCCCGCGGTAGTTACTTTACGGTTCGGGGCCTGATTAGAGCCCCAAAGTCTCATATACTCAGTTATAATGACTGATGCTAACTGGACTAGTGTGTGTGCATATTATTAAAAGTGAAAGTAAAAGTGAAAGTAAGAGTGTTTCTTCAATGACCCCTTCATTCAGGACTGGAGCATCTGCATACAGTAAAAACAGTCCTACAGACTGAGCAGCTTCCTTTCTAACATTCTGAAAGGTAAGTGAAAATAAAGCTTTGTTGTTCTTAGTGAATGTTTCAGATACCTTCACAAAGCCAAGAAAACACCTTACTTTTATAGAAGTCTGCTAAGTCAATTGATAAAAAATGAAAACCAGCTTAGATAGTCAAGAGCACACAGATGCAGCTGTATGGCTTATAATGTTGAATGTAACTGAAAAGATAGTGTTACACAGAAGGCATTCCTGTAAATGAAAGTTTAGTTTGTAGGTTGTAGCATGATCCACTGCAATAAATAATATTTCATCTTGTTCACAGCAAAAGGACAACATAAAAGACATGTATGGTTTTCTTAAATATTGGTTAAATGTCAGCTCCCCCCCCACCCCCCCACGCCCAGGTAAGTCTCTTAATACAGCTCTTAAACATGCATTGTTGTATATAATCTACTGTTGCTCTTTGCTAATAACGTTACATAATCAGACAAAAAGTACAATTTCATTTGAGCAATAGAAAATGAGAAGACGTGTTATTGTGAATAACATCATGAGCAGAGGGTACAGTAGATCACAGTCATGATGTGAAGATTAACGTGACATCAAGTGTTCTATCGCTTTTATGCAACAGTTCATATACAGTAGCAAAGCAAAGAACCCCTGAATATTGCAGCAAATGTGCTCTAATACTATTAATCCCTCCATCAAAAAGTAGTGGCCTTTTGCGTTACTGATAGAGCCATAGAACTGTCACAATATCAGGTTCAGCTCAGCTTTTTCAGTACAGTTGTATGCTAAGTCTGAACACAGTCAAATGACGTTCTGTTGATTTTCTAAGGGAAAACAAGTCCTCCACACATCCTATACAGGGCACATCCTATACAGGGCACACATCCTATACAGGGCACAAACTTAAACATTTTTCTCTCCATGTTAATGCACAGTTACTGCTTCTTTGCAGAATTTAACTTCAGTGTTAAATTAATGTAACATTTGTGTGTGTTCTCTGTAGACGATATGTAGTTATTTTCACTTAGAAATTAACCAAACATGGAATTTGATCAGGGGCGCCTATATTTCCTAGAGTAGAAACGTAGTACTGGTTAGCTGCGGCACAAAGCAATTCATTACCTAACAACCGATACTCATCATAACATAGTTTTGAAAACTTTGTTATCTTCACAGAATTTGACACACCATGGAGGCAAGTGACATGGAGGTATGGCCAGCGACCGTAAACGAACATTAACTTTATGTCCTTTGATAGGCTACACGTCCCATAACTCAACTGCTTTCATGGGGCATTTGCAGACAAACTAATTTCTTGGCTTATTTTCCTGAATAGTGAAGATAAGAAAAATGAGATGCTGAAAAAACTGAAGGAATTCCAGCTCAGCACTCCAGACGTCGATCAGCTCAAGATTCTGCTTCATGGCCCAATTGGAGCAGGAAAGTCCAGCTTCATTAACTCTGTGCACACCGCTCTCCAGGGCCGCAGCACAGCAGTTGCACCGGCCAATTCAGCAGCTGGTGACAGTTACAGCTTCACTACCAAGGTGATAGCAGTTCTACTGAATATTCAGTTCAAACTCTCAGACCTTATCAAATTGCACGCAGTTCACCTGTGATCTCACTGAATCCTATTAGCCACCATCTGAATACAACGAAACTGTTCATTACTGCACTGAAATTAGCTAGTTATATTGCTGGAACCTGCTTTTAATGCTTTGTTTTTGCACTGTATTTTATTTTTTTAATCAAGATGTGTTTCTGTGTTTCGAATCCAGTTCAAATTTTACAGGTTGAAGAAAGATGGGTCGGGATCTTTCTATCCATTTGTCTTCACAGACGTGATGGGCATGGAGCACGGGCGTTCGAAGGGGGTTCATACAGACGATATCATCAGCATATTGCATGGCCATATAAAAAATGGCTACACGGTAAGTTAAACCGGGGCTGGCTCTAGCCTTGCACCCCCTCCACGCCCCCCTCCCCAACCTTGCTAGCTATCTGTCTCATTTAAAAAAAGCAATCCAACCAACAGCAAACTGAACCACAGTTAGTTGAGACCTGCGATTTTTGTGAACCATGGTTCATTTGTTTAGTGCTACCCGAGTGCAGATGGAGTGTTCACACTGGCCAAACTAAAGAAAAAGTTTGATTGGTCCTCACAAAACAAAGCAGGTGTAAAGTCCTGATAAAATGTGGGTGACAGCAAGCCTTATGTGTTAAATACCGAGACTTATTTTCAGATTTATTTTCCTACACTGATTTCAGCATTTATCTAAAGTGGGGACAACTTCAAATTAATTGCCATGGCTTTGTATTGGGACATTCAACAAGCTCATATAGGTGTGATGGTCAGGTGACCACATACATTGGCCATATAGTGTACATTGCATACTGTAAATTGAGGTTCAGCAGAATCTATTCTTCAGCAAATTATTCTTTAAAGATGCATTAAGATTTTGATACAGTTGATAAGCTGTATTTAGCTGCAGGACTAAAGGCCCAGCACAGGATTTTCCCTTCTTACTTAAATTCTTATACAGTAGCAAACTCATGATTATCTGCATACTTTTGTTTCAAGACAACATATATCGTTTACTCAAAAGTGCATATGATGACCTCTGGGGTTTTAAAATGTTTTATACTGCCCCCTAGCCACTTCTTTGGAATTACACTTCATTTGGTGCATCTTGGAGAGTCACCTTATATTGCATATTCCTAAACTGTGAAATCAACTCACTCTCCCACATCACTCTATTGCAGTGGTTCCCAAACGTTTACAGTACTGTACCCCCTCAGACAGCTTCTTGCTGTGTATCCTCTCTTGCTCCTTACAATTATACATATTGCATATTGTTATGATGTTATCGGAAGAAAACCTTGTAACTCCAAAATGGTAGCTTTACAGGAGAAGGAAAAAACCCACCTTACTTTTAATGTAAGTCAATGGAACCAGAATTTTTTCCAAGTCTTTTTGGGCCATTTCTTTAAGTCCATTCATCATGAAATTTACACACAGTGCAAAGGGCAACAAGTATTTTCAAATTATGTAAAAAACTGGAAAACGTCAAAAATGGAGATACAAGGTTTTCTTCTGACAGCAGCGATATGTAAGTTAGACTTATAAAATCAGTTCACCTTATTGCAAATGTTTATAAGGTGATGACACAATGCACAAAATGTACACTCGAAAAAAACTAAACTGTCTCTGTTTGAATTAAATCACTTTAATCAGTAAAGTCTTCAGGTCTATTTTAAATTCTGTCTTTTATTAGTCTCAGTCTTTTAGGAAGTTTATTGTACCTCATTACTGAACCTGACTTTTCTCTACACTTCATTTTTTGCTCTTTCAGTTTAATCCTTGTTGTCCAATTGACAAAGAAAACCCAAACTACATCAGCGACCCCAGCCTGAAAGACAGAGTTCACTGTCTGGTGAGCGTTCTACCAGCAAACAAAATCTCCCTCACCTCTGATGATGTTATCCACAAGATGAAGCAAGTTCGGGAAAAAGCACGTGATTTGGGTAAGCATAATATGCGTCGATCTATTACAGTCTACTGGATGATAATTATTGTTGTTTACCATGTAATCACAGTACCCTGTTTGTAATTTTGGTTGCAGTAAACGTTCCAACATATTATGTTTTAAGGTGATAATAAATAAATCAATACATTTAAGATACTCAAAATGTTTTGCATGCTTTTCCACAGGAATTCCCCAAGTCACCGTCATGACCATGGTGGATGAAGCATGTCCACTAGTCAGAGATGACCTGGAAAAGATTTACACCAGCAAGAAAATAAAGGAGAAGGTAGATACACCTTTTTTCAGGCAATAACTAACGTGAAAACGTGAAAATGTGAGAATGTGTTACCTTATTTTCACATAGAAAAATAACTAAACATACACTGAGATGGGGGTGTTCAAACTTTTGCATGCAAATGTACATTTTATGGCCATAAGTATAAGGACACCTGACCATCACACCTATATGTGCTTGTTGGACATCCCATTCCAAAACCATGGATGTTAATATGAAGTTATCCCACTTTGTAGCTAAATTGGCCTCCACACGTCTGGGAAGAGTTCAGATCCAGCATACCTGTCTCATATGGTCAGATGCCACTGAACTCCTTAATTATCTGCATCAGGCATGTTAGATTATGGGTGGAGTGAAGCTCTTCAGGGTGGTAGATCTCCAGGGCCAGGATTGGGCACCTATGCTGTAAACTGTAGTTCAGAAGAGCTGAAGCAGAATCTATTTTTCAGCAAATTATTCTGTAAAGATGCATTAACAGTTAATGTGCACCCCTATGCTGTATTTAGCTGCAGTACTAAAGGCCCAGAACAATATTTTCCTTTCTTAAAATCCTATTCCAGTGGCAAGCTTATGATTATCTGCATACTTTGTGCAACATATGTTGTTCACTAAGAAGCACATATAATGACCACTGAAAACATCTATACACTCAAATCTATGCAAACATCTTTTTTAATATGGACGTTTTCGGTAAGAGATCTTCTTCAAGGCATGAGTAGGTAAAAATGGACACAACAGTGCTAAAAGTTTAAGAACAGCACTTGATTAGCCTTAATGTAGTGAGAAACTTTAAACACTTACAATATCCAAAATTCACAAAGAGAATGCACAATAGAGATATATGCTATGTGAACATCAGGAATCAGCCATCATCAAACATAAAGCATATAGAATCCATTGTAGTTCATTCATATAAAATATTTATAATTATAAACTGTGAAGTCAGTTTGCTCCATATCACTCTCCTGCAGTGGTTCCCAAACTTTTTACAGTCCCATAACCCCTCAGACAACTATGAGGAAGCCTGACCATCACACCTATATGTGCTTACTAGACGTGCCATTCCAAAATCATAGGCATTAAAATGGAGTTGTCCCCCCTTTGCAGCTATATTGGCCTCCACGCTTTTGGGAAGGTTTTCCCCAAGACCTTACAGTGTATCTGTGGGAATTATGCCCATTCATCCAGAAGAGCATTTGTGAGATCAGGCTCTGATGTTGGACAAGAGGGCCTGGCTTGCAAACGATGTTTCAAATCATCCCAAAGGTGTTCAGTGAGAAAAGGGACTTCTCCAAACTGTTCCCACAAAGTTAGAAGTACATAATTTTGTAAAATTTCCTCATATGCTGTAGGAGTAACCATCACTGGATCTAAGGGGCCCAAACCCTGAAAAACAGCCCCAGACCATTATGCCTCCTCCACCAAACTTTACTGTTGGCTCAGAGCATTCTGGTAGGTGGTGTTCTCCTGGCATCCACGAAACCCAGATTCATCCATCGGAAAGCCAGATAGTTAAGCATGGATCATCACTCCAGAGAACATGTCCCCACTGCTCCAGAGTCCAGTGCCAGCATGATTTCCAGCTGATGCTTGGCATTGTGCATAGTGATCTCAGAAGCTTAGGTGCCTCTGCTCAGCCATGAAAACCCCTTCCATGAAGCTCCTGACGCACAGATCTTGTGCTGATGTTGCTTCCAACAGCAGTTTGAAACTCCCTAGTGAGTGATGTAATGAGGATAGGCACCTGCTTTGTGAGTTGGCGTGGTCTATTGCTTCATGGCTGATCTGTTGTCTGTGCACTTACATTTGACCAATCTAGCAGGGCAAAAAATTCACAAACTGACTTGTAGCAAAGGTGGCATCCTATGACAGTGTCAGATTTAAAGTCACTGATGCTATGAGAGTCTATGAGATTGTATGGCTATGTGCTTGATTTTATACACCTGTTACCAGTGGGTGTGTCTGAAATACCTGAATGTAGTAATTAGGAAAGGTGTCCACATACTTTTGGCCATACAATGTATATGACCCTTTTTGGTACCAGTGTCTGGTACGGCATAGCAAGATCACAAGTGCCTTATTGCAATTATATTGTGTTTCATTACTGATATTTATCATTAGGGTTTATACTTAAAATAGTTCAAATAAAATTACCAACAGGTTTTGTGAGTATTTTAGGTACTCTTCTTAGGTTTGGCTATATGGTTCCCCACGGCACTTAGCCTCTGAGTAGGCCGACAAAATGTCTGGTTAAGGTTGTTCTGTTGTGTTTGTCCTACAGATGCAGGAGTGCAGTAACAAACTGGGGGTCCCAATGAACTGCATCTACCCTGTGAAGAACTACCATGAGAAGATTACCAATGACCTGAATGCAGATATTTTGATTCTGATGTCTGTAACAGATATCATTTCTTTTGCAAATGACTACATAGAAGACCAGATTTACACAGAATAAATACCCATTATGCTAAATATCCATTTCAGCCAGTGATGAGAAAAAGCATCCTATGAAACGATGCTTAATTTAGGTAATGTACATATGCATGAATAAGCAGTAAAGCAATAAGACTTCATTTCACAGATTTGTTACTTTAAGATAAAGTAGACGTGTAAGACAGCAACGTATTCAGTAACTTTGCTTTTGCACTTGTAAATTAGGTAATTGCAATAACAATGCTAGCACACATGCTTGGAAGAGTGTCTAACAGATGACTGCTCATACAGATATCCCTAATAAGCTAGTACTACTCATATACCATACTCATATATGTCATTCCTTTGTTACATGTTTACTAATTAGTGTAATAGTTTATAAATATGTTTAATACGTAAGATAATTATGTACTAAATGATGCTCTAAGTAAGTAAATAAGCTAAATGTTTATTAATAACTAGGTCGGTAAGTAGAATATAAATTTTAGTGAGGTCCATTTTGCATGTACTAAGTTGACATAATGAATAAACCACATTTTAGAATATGTGTACTATGTATGTGTTTTCCCATTTTCCCATTAAACACTGCTCAAAACATTGTCATTTTACATGAGAGCATTAATAAAAGTTCAAAAAATGAATTTGTCATTTCAATTAAAAATACAAATATTTAAATATTTAAGTTCTTTTTATTTAAATTAATGAATATTCAAATGTTTTTTTTAATTGTTGATGGGTGTGAATTAAAATATAGATAAAGTAAAATACCATTTGTTACATTTTCACATTTTCAATCCCTGCTTTTTAAATTCCTTTTTTTTAACTCCTGTTTTAAAGTCCAAATGGTGAAATTCCAAAGTTTAAAATGATCATTGTGGACACCCTGGACAGGCCACCAGTCCATCACAGAGCAAACTCACACTCACACCTAGGTGACCCTTGTCATCTGGCTGGGGAATCCAACCCAAGCTCTTCTTGCGCTACTCACTGCGTCACCATACCGCCCAATAGTTTACTCCTTTAATTTGCAGTTCAGTTATAATAGTCTGATTGACCCTAGTTAGAATCTGGTCTAAAGAGATCCCACCTAGAATGGATGAACCGCAGGGTCCGCTGTTGTGCCGAGTTTTACTCAATCAGATTACATTGAACAAACACTTATGAAGAAAATCTGACCACTCAATTTCATTGAAACAACATAACTGACTCAGTTTCACTGACTTACATGCTTTCGTTAAGTACTATCAACAAGTGCAAACTGATTAAAACTAGTAAGAAAGCAATTTCATTTTTTTGAGTACAGATAGAAGGAATTCGGTAGGTGTCATTCCCAGAATTCTATTCTCTAAATTGTTAAATTTACTGGCATATGCTTTATATGGTATAACCTGCATACCAAGATAAGTCACCAGAATAACTCTGATTTGAATCAGATCTTGCACCCCAGAGATAAGGGAGAGTATAATTTTAGCAGGTTTAAAATACTCCCCTAACTATGTAAAATCTGCTGACATTTCAACCAAAATCAACTCTTAAAAATAACTGTAAATGTATGTATTAATACAATTCATACAATGAGTTTCATTAAAATGTTTCAAAATACGTATCCAAACATGTCATATAATACACTGCAATGTACATACAGACTTATAAAACTATATACAAGATTTCCATATAAATGACCATTGGGTTTTGCTGTGTCAATCATGCATGCATCACTGTAGTGTCACTTATTGATTCATTACTGAACATAGTTGTGAACAATATGTAAACAATTATTCCTCTGTCAAGTGAAGGAAAATCTCCTCACAACAAATCTGCAGTGAGAACAGCGGTGCCAATAAATTCCTTGGAATTATTATGCTAAGAAATGACGGAAAGCTGTACCTGTACCTGACACGTTATCCTGATCCTCTGAAGCATGAAGCTGTTTTAATTTCATTCCGGATGTTTTAGATTAAACTCTGTGGAAGATCACACTCCCAGCCAAACGCCAAAACTATTAACTGGCAGACTTATGCTGGCTGTAAGGTAAGCTAAATTGTATCTTCCCATTACTTTACATCTATGGTTCTAAACTCCAAGGCAAGGCAAGTTTATTTATATAGCACCTTTCATACACTGCTGTCATTCAAAGTGCTTTACAAATGACAAAATACACAGTTGTTTAAAAAAAATTAAAAATAAATGAGAATAGAAATTAAAAACATGATTAAAACAGTAGATTTAAATGAGAAAACCATTAAATTAAAAATCAAATTAGAAATTAAATTAGGATAGTTTTAAAAAATCTAATTAAAAATGTAAAAAGTGCCATTACAGAGGAAAAAGTCTAGAAATGCTAACAGTGTTTAAACTGAGCTGAACGCTGCTCAAATAGGAACGCTTTGAACCTGAGTGTCCAGTGTCTCTTCCAGTGCCTCTTCTAATGCTGCCTGTCAACTGGATCCATTTAAGAGCAGCATAGTATCTAAATGCTGCTTCTCCATGTCTAGTCTTCACCTTCGGCAGGGCTAACTGACCAGTTCCTAATGATCAACTCATAATGCTGCAACATATGAAATAAATACGCTGCTCCTGCACCGCTGAGCGATATTCTGTAACAGACCGGTAGCCAGTGTAAGGGTTTAAGAGTGGGGGGTGATGTGTCCCTTCTTTTACTCCTAGTGAGACTCTGACAGCTGCGTTTTGAATCATGTGAAGCTGTTTGATTGTCTTTTTTGGGAATCCAGTTAGGAGACCATTACAGTAATCAATCCTGCTAGAAATAAAGATGTGGATGAGTTTCTCCAGGTCTGCTTTAGTCACACAATCTCTGATCTTGTTGATGTTCTTAATGTGTTAAAAATTGATTTAGTAACTGCTCTGACATGACCGCTAAAACTAAGATCAGAGTCCATTAGTACACCAAGGTTACATAATAGTCCTTTAGATTTTAGGGCTCTTGAATTCAGATAGGCAGCTAGCCTGTGCCTCTCAGTGCCCAAATGAAATAATCTCTGTTTTATCTTTATTTAACTGCAGAAATTTTTGTCCCATCCAGTTAGTGATGTGCTCAAGGCACATACAAAGTAAGTCAAAAGGAACATAGTTGTTTGGGGAGAGGGCCAAGTACATCTGAGTATCATCTGCATCCCATAGTCTTGCAGTATTTGGCCAAGAGGCAGCATGTATAAATTGAATAAGAGTGGCCCAAGAATTGAACCCTGGGGGACAGCACAGGTCACTGGCACTCTCTCAGAAATATTATTTTCAATTTTGCAGTAAGTGAGTTGCTAAACATTTTCCATTGTTTGATTAATGTCAATGTTTTTCAGAATCCATTTTCTGTATGCTTTAAATTGGCTTTCATGCACATTTTGTCAGGTTTTAAACATGTATCTCTATGCTGAACATCTTATAACACCAGTTTATTTTTAAACTAAAAAATTACAACTATACTCCTCTGTGCTTCTAAATTTTTCTTTGTCCTGCTGAACCTTTTAGTCTGCTAGCACAAGTTTTATGGATGCTATGATGCGGCCTGAGAGGAAAGTTTGATTGATGTAGCAACAATAGCTAAGGGAGGTAGGTCTTTCTCCACATTTTGCAGATGGTCAATTGGGAATACTGCCTAGGTCTCAGTATACTGTACATAATGAAAAAGACCTCCAACATTCAGCTTTTACATCGTCACTGTCAGAACAAAACCTTCTATATCCAAAATGTTAACTTTACAAGAGGAAAAACATTCTTAACTTGTAATGGAAGTTTAACACAATGCAAAGGTAAACCTAAAATAATGTATATCCTTGAATGACTGTGATGATATACAGTATGTCATTAGTAGTATATTTCTGGATAATTATTTTACAAACACGTACCTTGATTTATAGGTCACAAGTTATGTTGGTGCTTCTCACAACATAAATCTCATGTCCACTGCCGACCAAATACTATTTGCATGGTGGAATATTTTCAATACAGCAGTAAGTCTAGTATGATATTCAGGTTTGTTGGTATGAGTTTATCAGGCACAGCAGTGTTGCTGAGGTTTATACAAATGTCAATGTCACAGATGTGTTGCTCATGTTGCTTAGCGAACATATATCCCTATGTGTTTACTGCAGTGTGGACAGCTGTGATGAACATCTTGGAATGCTGTAACACAAAATGGGATAAGACAACATCCACAGATGAACCTGAAACAGAGATAGAAGGAGACAATCAGGATGGTCATCATCATTTATTATCAGACTTAAAATGAAATTTAGAACTTATAAAGTTTGCCTGTTTTATTTGTATTTAGGGCTGGCCTGAACAGCTTTTTACCGGCTTTGGACACTAATTGATATTTCCAAATGAGTACTCGATCACTTGTCCTCAAAACCACCCTTAAAACCATTATATTTGTATCATTTTTTAAGATTTCTAAAATTACTTGTGATGATTTTACTGGTGTGGTTGCAGAGCAGCTCCTGTGCTGTACTAACGGTGTGTGGAGGAGACTCTGATAGCTCGGTATATACTTGTGATTGTGATTTCATCTCAAGGAACAGACCTGCTGTTTGTGAAGCCAGGTCTTAAACCTGCTATAAAAGTGTTCAAAGGGAGAAAAAGAGCTGATATTCCTGCCTGAACTGGTGCTGAGTCAAAGTAAGTCACATTTAACGTCTGATTATTTAAAGTGCTCCCACACATGCAATTTCTTTCTTAGGCATCTCTGCTGTTTTAGCTTCATTGATGAATTTAACATGAATTTATGAGGCATTTAACTGAACCAGCTATAATTTATTTATTTAAAAAAAATCCATACATTAACACTAACTGTCCTATCTAAAGGCCTTTGCTGATGAACTTTATTTTAGGCTACAATTTTTAAAAAAGACAAGATGCTAAACAGAGAAAAGTAATGAACAAATACTGAAGTATTCAAGTTATTAGGGCCAGTCCCAACTATTTTTGAACTTTTAGATATTATACTTGCTTGTAACCTAGAATATGTATAAAATATGGATCAAGTTGCCTAATGCACATAATGGATGGATGCTAGAGGGAGGCAACACTGGAAACTTGCAGGACACTTTCTTGAGTTTCCGGAGGCCTATAAAGCATGACCTGTTAGACTGCAAGATATTTTTTAAATAAAGAGGACTAACCTTAATGACTGACCATGGTCTACACCACAAGTTCCCAATTCTGGTCCTGGAGTACCCCCTGTCCTGCACTAGTGTTTTCCTTTCTGTTTTCAACCCAGTAATTGGTTGTTAATGAGTTAACTAGTTGGATCAGGTGTGTTGGTAGCAAAGACAATACTAATACGTGCAGCGCAATGCTTACTCCAGAAACAGGGCTGGGAACCTCTAATGTTTAGAGTAGGGCTGAGAATGTTAGAGCATCCAGGAATTTAGAACTTAATGCTGGATGCCCATATACTCTTGGCAGGGCCTTCTAGACATTCAGAAAAGCCTAATGATTTCTCTGACATACAAAATACATAAATTAAATTCATTTTTACCATATATAGTCATCATGCTGGTTGTATTTAAAATCTACAAGTTTTGGTTGTATCTGTTTCATTTAAAAAGTTTTCATTGTAAATAAAAGCTTTAAATTCCTGATGCCCAATAGAAGAAAATTGTCAAATCAGATTTTTAAATCTGTTTTACAGAGGCCCTGAAAGAATACATGTACAAAAAAATCATATAGGTTTTCTACAAAGGGTTAAAAACACCCTCCTGCTGGCAAAATGACCTATTTTGATTAATTTCTTGGGATATAAAGATTTAAAGAAAATAATTATCACGAGATATACAGAGAAAACTGAAGCGTATTCCCCACTGCTTCCTGTAGATGGCACCAATACTCCATTCAGGCAGCATTCCATTCACTGTTGTCTGCCTGAGCCTGTTGTTCATTTTTTCAGGGGTGCTGGAATTTGTGTATCTGAGATTGGAACTATTCTAATGGAAATTGACACCATCTACAGGGAGGAATACTCTTACCGAATACGCAATACAAAAATACGTTTTCACTATATATCTCAAGATTATTATCTGAAGACACTTATCTCAGGATAATTGATATTCATATCTGGATAATAAACCGCTCTTAATAATTGATTAATAAGATATAATAGGAATAATTAATAAGATTTTAACTAGATTTTAACTTTAAATAAACTATGATTTAAATAGAGGTGTTTTTTTCCCCTTGTTTTGACTGTGTTTTGGCATTTATGGCCCAAACTGAAGGCCTAGCTCTAAAAGTCATTGTTCACCACTGACTCTCTGAGCTCTCTGGAACTTCTTGGAAGTACACAGTTTTTGAGAAGGTACAGATCTTACGCTCATGCGTCATGCAGTACATGTTACATCTGGTACGGCTCATTTGGCCTCCATGAACCTAAAGATTTGGCTGACTTTTTTATTGCCAGCCATCCTCAGAGGAGCTGATTTTATTCTTGTGCCTTACCCAAGAAGAATGAAGAGGAAGCACATGCCCCATGCTCCAGCCCCAGGTTTGTATTCCACAGTGGTGGTGATATTTTGATGGCAGTATGGGCAGTTAATCACAGTGGGTCTGTCAAGCAGCCGACGCCTGCTGTGACGTCTGTGTGTCTCCTGCTGTGAAACCACGAACACTTGGGGGGGCGAAGAACGTATTGTCTGTTGCACAAACACTGAGAGAGAAACAGAGAGGAAAAGAAAGATAGAAAGAGAGAGAGAATGAATAATAGTACCTATAGTACTGAAGGTGCTTTTCTCGCCATCTTTTATTACATTTTACATGCTCGTTTAGTTCAGATCAACACTGACAACCGGCCCTCGACTGAAATCTCATGGTATCAAAATGCTGCCAAAAATGTTGCAACATCCAGTAGAAGCTCAGTGGCCAGCCTAGGCTAGAAAGGGTTCTTTTAGCCATGATCCTAGTGTAGGAGTCGTGGGTAAATTAGTACTGTTAGTTAAGGTATTATAAACAAATGTAATATTTATAATAATAACCCAGTAAGCAGGGCACCTATCCAATGGGACAAAATAGACTCTGAATGAGGTAAACTAGATAGTTGACCCCATGGAGAAGTGAATAACAACTGGAATAGTAATAATTTTCTCATTATCTGAAGGAAATTACTCAAATTTGATAGAATTCTTTTCTTAGCTATTGGAACTTTGGAAGCAAAGAAAAAAAACCCACTGAAGCAAGATAATATAAAAATGTATATATATATATATATATATATATATATATATATATAGGTGAAATTGAATAAGGAATTACTATTAAACTACCTTAATGAAACCAGGAATAAGAGTAAGAGTATCTTAACCTATCTGAATCTATCTAGAGTTTACACCAAATTAAATTCTAGAGGGTTTTCAGCACCACAGCAGTATTGAAAATCAGAGAAAAACACAGAAAAACTTTACATATTTATGCTTCGATGGTCCTTGAGTTGGGACTGACAGGCTTGGCAACTAGCATCAGTCATTGATCAGTTTTCTCTGGGAACTGCAGACGATTGCAGACCAGTCCAGCATTTGAAGACCTAGAAGTTTGGATGAGTTGACTCATTAGAGGATGAGACAACACATCCGAACTTCTGTTGCAAGCTTCATTCAGTATCAATAATTAGCATTATCATAGAGTGAGATCAATCAGAGGGTTGGAGCCAGAAGCACCACCTCAGAAGTTTGTAACTGGAAGACCCCCACAGCTCAAAGGGAAATTGGAAGTGCTCTGACTTTTATGGAGGCATGGGAAGTCTCCCATTACCTGTTCCTCAATGTTCACTGATCCTCCATCCAGATGGGATGGATCAGTCTCCACCACTTCCACTAGAATTGTCCTATGATACTAGACAGAAAGTTCATGTCATGCCCAAATCATGCAATCATGTTCACAGAACCTTGGAAATCATCCCAATGTTTCCAGTATGATTTTTCATTTAATTTGATACAAAAATGGCTTAAAAAGAATAAAATACATATCTATACAGAATGATCTCTTTACACGAAATATATATATGACATGTGGCATCTTGTCAGGAATATCCTGTGAAATTCCCATTTTGATGTTTTTAATGAAAAAATCTTTTTTTCTAAAACTGGGATGTTCAGCTTTCTTTTATTGAAAGCAATGTGTCTGCATTTGAGTTCCTCCATCGTAAACCTCATCACAGGTCAAGGGGGGGCATTCACTCTGGGAAGGGTCTTCTTTAAGTAGTGCTCTGTGCAGAAACAATGTTCTATGCCTGTTTGCTGGCATTGTTCCTGAAGAAGATGTAAACAGATCACTTTTTGGAATGCTTTTAAGAAGAAGTTGGTCCAGGAATATTAAAGCAGTAAACCTTGTGGTGACACTCTTGGTTTGTGATCCTGGGTAAGTCTGGTCACTGTGGGTACAAGAGCCAGAAAGCTGTGACCAGATGTAACTGTCAAGCCAGGTAGAAACCTACCAATGATGTGGGAGAGGATTTTGAGAAGGTTAATGAGAGGTTCAACAAATTCAAGCAGTCCTTTTAGCCCTTGCACACAACGTTGCAGGTACTTACAGAGAGGACAGGGGCAATGGAGGAACACACACAAGACCACAAGGCCCACATCAGCTCCCTTGTGCGTTCCACAGAAGTGAAAGGATAAAGGGAGACCAATTGAGTTTGTTGATGTCTTGATCCCTAAATCACTGGGTGATATCCACTTTCAGGGACCACTGATCATCTACTGGGCTCACTCCAACTGAAGCCACCAGAGGAATGATCATTGCCTGAGTGCTTTTCCAACGGGAAAAAGAGCTGAGTCTCCAACTCAGGAGAGACCACAAGTTGGACTACACTGGTCACAAAGTGTACATCTTTGCAGATTACACTGTCCAGGTGATGGAACAGTGCAGGAAATTCTGTAATCTGATGAAAGCAATAAAAGAGCTAGGGGTCTTTGATTTTCTGCAAGGGTTTGTGTGCAGCAAGGCCAACTCAGGCTATTTACCTCTCCCATTGAAGCCATGAAGTTTACAGACACTGAGCTGGAACATGCCTCATGAAACATCAGCCATTAATGAAATTGGACAGCAGTGATTTTTACACTATTTTTTCATTTCTATACTTTTAAAAATCTTTGTTAGATCTAGATTCCTAAACTACCCTCGATTCTGCATTCTGTGTATCAGATATACTATTCAGGCTTTACCATCTGCTGCCAGTTGTGATAGATCTGGGTTCGAATTTTACAAAGCCTTTCATGTGAAACTTTCTCTTATTATTGTAAGGGTTCAGCCGGCCCCGCCTGCTGCCGGCAGAGGGCGACGGCGGCGGGGTGTCCAGCCTGCGCCGCCTGCTGCCAGCAGAGGGCGACGGCGGCAGGGTGTCCAGCCTGCGCCGCCTGCTGCCAGCAGAGGGCGACGGCGGCAGGGTGTCCGGCCTGCGCCGCCTGCTGCCAGCAGAGGGCGACCGCGGCACAGGGCCATAACTTCAGGGAACTCCAATTCCCAGAAGTCCGCGGGCTGATTAGGCCCAACGCGACACACCTGCGGACTCCTCTACTTAAGGTCAAGGCAAACAGTGGTGTTTGTCACACCTTTGTAGAGGGGTGACCGGTACGGTATTTAGTGTCAGAAAAGAAAAGCAAAGAAAAGCAAAGAAAAGAAAAGAAAAGAAAAGAAACTGCCCCAAAACTAAAAAAGAAAAAGAAAAGAGGGCTGAGAAGAGAAATTGCCCCAAAACTAAAAAAGAAAAAGAAAAGAGGGCTGAGAAGAGAAATTGCCCCAAAACTAAAAAAGAAAAGAACAGAGGGCTGAGAAAAGAAACTGTCCCAAAGTGGCTTAAAGCCAAAAAAAAAAAATTAAATAAATAATAAATAAATTAAAAAAAAGGAAAAGAAGAGGTCTGCCTTCCCTTCGTTTTTGGAGTGGAAGTGTTTTTTGTTTTTCCTATTATCTGTCCTCTCGCCTCTCTAGTTCAGCCTTTGTTTGAGCACGCTGCTCTCAGCGTCTCTTTTGTTTGCCGTTCGTCATTTTCCCGCCTTTTTTTTTTTCCCCTTCCTTGAGGCGTTATTGCCAGTAGTTACCTCTGCTCCTCAGTGGCGCAGTGGCAACACCACGAAGCGCCGATCAATACATCGCTGGTTCGAACCTGGCTTTGGGTCACCTCGTGTGTATGTTTCGGATTCACAACCCAGTATCATAAACAACTCATTTTTTCCATTTTTTTTTCTGTTTCCATTTCTGCACTTGGGTCCGCCTCCCCGCCGTCCCGTAACAGAAAGGTGTGACCAACATGGACCCAGCAGAATTGGATCCCATAAGATCTGCCCTGCAAACTCAGGGTGCTGTTATTGCCGGCATGAGCAGCTGTTGCAAGACAGGATGCAGCAGCTGACCCTTCTGGTCAGGGCACAGACTGAGGGGGTTCAGCCTGCCAGTGCTGATGCCCCTGCTCCTGCCTTAGCTCCCACTCCACCCCCCCCTGCTGACCTGAACCCCACTCGGGGTGATGCTCTGGTGGCCAATCCAGAGAGGTATGCAGGGGACCCAGAGACCTGTAGAGGGTTTCTCTTGCAGTGTTCTCTGGTGTTTGAGCAGCAACCCTCCCGGTTCCCCACAGAGAGGTCCAAAGTGGCTTACATAATCTCTCTATTGACCGGTAGGGCTTTGGCTTGGGCCACCTCGCTGTGGGAGCAGGACTCTCCTGACACAGCATCGGGAGAGCGTTTTGTCAAGGCCATGAGGGCGACCTTTCATAACCCCATCGGGGGTAGGGAGGCGGCACCCCGCCTCCTGGCCCTCTCCCAAGGAGCCCGTTCGGTGGCGGATTATGCCATCGAGTTTCGTACCCTGGCCGCTGAAAGTGGCTGGAATGAGGAGGCGCTAACTGCCGTATTCCATCAGGGACTTAACGGGAAGCTCAAGGATGAACTAGCCACCCGGGAGCTGCCCTCCACGTTAGAGGGCCTCTATGATGTATGCATCCATCTGGATACCCGCATGCATCAAAGAGACTTGGACCGGAGAGGTGGTTCCCACGCTCCTGTCTCCCGTTCCCCCTGGCGCCCCTCTCCAGCCAGGTCACCACCTAGCAGGGACCTGCCTGAGCCCATGCAACTCGGTAGTGCGGGGCTGCCTGATCGCGGTTCTGGGCCTCAATCATTTGAGACCAGACGCCCTGGAAATACTAGCAAGCCATGGGGAAACGCACGGGCCCGCTCCGGTCAGGGGGACCGGTGAGGGGCCAGTCATCCTTTTTCCCCACTTCGGGGCTCTTCTTGGAAGTAAAACTTTCATGGGGGCCCAGTCAACACACGACCTTGCAGGCCTTCATTGACTCAGGAGCAGCAGAAAGCATTCTTGATGTCACGTTGGCTGCTGAGCTGGGCCTACCCATTGAGCCCCTGGAACGTCCTCTACCGGTTATGGCCATTGACGGCCAGTCTCTGGGGTCTGGGCCTGTCACTCATCACCACTTGCAACTTGTGTTGGGGTTCCCTTGGTTGAGGCAGCACAACCCTCGCATTGACTGGTCGACACAGTCCATATATGCATGGGACCCCCGGTGTAACGGTCATTGCCTGGTCGACCCTGGCCCCCTCCGAGGGACGCCCTCCCTCAAGGGTCCCGCTATGCCAGACCTGTCAGGGGTCCCCAGAGACTACTGGGACCTCAAGGAGGTCTTCAGTAAAGAGAAGGCCCAGGTTCTGCCGCCCCACAGGGAGTTCGACTGTGCCATCAACCTGCTCCCAGGTGCTACACCACCCCGCGGCCGGTTGTTTGCACTCTCGCCCCCTGAACGTGCTGCCATGGATGAATACATCCGTGAAGCATTAGAGCTGGGGTTCATACGCCCATCCTCCTCTCCTGCAGGGGCAGGCTTCTTCTTTGTTGGAAAGAAGGACGGAGGTCTCCGCCCCTGCGTGGACTACCGTGGGCTCAACGCCATCACCGTAAAAGACCGCCACCCCCTGCCCCTCATGTCAACAGCGTTTGAGGCACTGCAGCAAGCCGCAGTATTCACTAAGCTGGACTTGCGCAGTGCTTACAACCTCATCCGCATTTGGCAGGGGGATGAATGGAAGACGGCGTTCATCACCCCCACTGGGCATTATGAGTACCGGGTAATGCCCTTCGAGCTAATGAACGCCCCAGCGGTCTTCCAGCGCTTCATAAATGAAGTTCTCAGAGAAGCCCTGGGTCTTTATGTGTATGTCTACCTCGACGACATACTCATTTACAGCCGGTCCCTCGAGGAACATGTCGGGCATGTCAGGCGGATCCTGCAACTATTGCTGGAGAACCGCCTGTATGTTAAGCTGGAGAAGTCGGTGTTCCATGTCTCTACGGTGTCCTTTTTGGGCTTTGTGGTGTCCAAGGGCACCCTCCACATGGACCCGGCCAAGATCAGAGCCGTGGTGGACTGGCCCCGTCCTACCTCCCTCCGGTTGGTCCAACGTTTCCTGGGGTTTGCCAACTTCTTCCGACGCTTTGTGAGGAACTTCAGTTCCGTGGCGGCACCCCTCACCGCCCTTACCCGGAAGACCCTAGGGCCCTTTCGTTGGACCATCGAGGCCCAAAAGGCTTTTGAGGAGATCAAGGCACGGTTGACATCTCCCCCGGTCCTCCAGCTGCCCGATCCGGAGAAACCGTTTGTCGTCGAGGTAGACGCTTCGGAAGTGGGTGTTGGGGCCGTACTCTCCCAACGCCTAGGTCTGGCCAAGAAGCTCCACCCATGTGCGTTCTTCTCCCATCGTCTTACCCCAGCTGAACGCAACTACGATGTCGGAGACAGGGAGCTTCTGGCCGTGAAGCTCGCCCTGGAGGAATGGAGGCACTGGCTTGAGGGGTCTAAACATCCCTTTGTGGTCTGGACCGACCACAAGAACCTGGCCTATATCCAACAGGCAAAGCTTTCCTGCTGTCTTATAGGCCAGGCTCTAAGAACACCAAGCCTGATGCTCTGTCCAGACAGTGGGCACCTCCGGGGCCTGACCCCTCCCCGGAACCCATTATTCCCGCTCCTCAGATCTTGGCCCCACTCCGTTGGGAGCTGGAGACTGCCATCAGGGAGGCCCTACGGCAGGAGCCTGATCCTGGAGGCGGCCCCCCCGGTAAGCTGTACGTGCCTGCTGCCGTGCGGAAACGGGTGCTGCTATGGGGGCACGCCTCCCCATTTTCAGGTCACCCAGGGGTGGCTAGGACCCTGGACCTTTTGCGCAGGCGATTTTGGTGGCCTGGCATGGAGAGGGACATCCGTGCCTTCATTGCATCTGTGCGGAAGGCCCATGCTTCCCTCTTGGTCACTGCCGAGGCCAGAAAGCAGGTGGCAGACCGCAAGAGGCGCCCAGCCCCCACCTTCCGGCCAGGCCAGCGGGTCTGGCTCTCGGCCAAGGACCTTCCACTCCGTGTGGAGTCCAAAAAGCTGGCGCCTAGATATGTGGGGCCCTTCAAGATCGACCGCCGGATCAACCCAGTCACCTACCGGCTACGCCTTCCGCCCTCCATGCGGATCCACCCCGCATTTCACGTGTCGCGCCTTAGGCCGTTCCTTTGTGGGACTCGGCCCCCAGCACCGCAGCTTGTTGCTGGCTCCCCAGCTTACACGGTCCGCCGCCTCCTGGACTCCCGCCGTGTGCGGGGTGGCATCCAGTACTTGGTTGACTGGGAGGGCTACGGGCCTGAGGAGCGGTCTTGGGTTCCGGCACGCCATATCCTGGACCCGGAGCTCGTTAGGGAGTTCCGACGGACACGCGCTGCTGGCCTTGGGACTTCTGGGGCCGTCCCTAGGAGGGGGGGTCCTGTAAGGGTTCAGCCGGCCCCGCCTGCTGCCGGCAGAGGGCGACGGCGGCGGGGTGTCCAGCCTGCGCCGCCTGCTGCCAGCAGAGGGCGACGGCGGCAGGGTGTCCAGCCTGCGCCGCCTGCTGCCAGCAGAGGGCGACGGCGGCAGGGTGTCCGGCCTGCGCCGCCTGCTGCCAGCAGAGGGCGACCGCGGCACAGGGCCATAACTTCAGGGAACTCCAATTCCCAGAAGTCCGCGGGCTGATTAGGCCCAACGCGACACACCTGCAGACTCCTCTACTTAAGGTCAAGGCAAACAGTGGTGTTTGTCACACCTTTGTAGAGGGGTGACCGGTACGGTATTTAGTGTCAGAAAAGAAAAGCAAAGAAAAGAAAAGAAAAGAAACTGCCCCAAAACTAAAAAAGAAAAGAACAGAGGGCTGAGAAAAGAAACTGTCCCAAAGCGGCTTAAAGCCAAAAAAAAAAATAAAATAAATAATAAATAAATAAAAAAAAAAGGAAAAGAAGAGGTCTGCCTTCCCTTCGTTTTTGGAGTGGAAGTGTTTTTTGTTTTTCCTATTATCTGTCCTCTCGCCTCTCTAGTTCAGCCTTTGTTTGAGCACGCTGCTCTCAGCGTCTCTTTTGTTTGCCGTTCGTCATTTTCCCGCCTTTTCTTTTCCCCCTTCCTTGAGGCGTTATTGCCAGTAGTTACCTGTGCTCCTCAGTGGCGCAGTGGCAACGCCACGAAGCGCCGATCAATACATCGCTGGTTCGAACCTGGCTTTGGGTCACCTCGTGTGTATGTTTCGGATTCACAACCCAGTATCATAAACAACTCATTTTTTCCATTTTTTTTCTGTTTCCATTTCTGCACTTGGGTCCGCCTCCCCGCCGTCCCGTAACAATTATATTTTGTATGATAAATGATTCTATTAAAAATAAGAGGCATTTAACTTCCTTAGAATAAGCAACCTTCTCCATACTGTTGGAAACAAAGAGACGGCACAGACTCTGTTTCCTATAGGCCCACAGCTGTTTTAAAAAGTTTACTCTGCTGAGAAAACCCAGGGTATTCAAAAAGTACTGTCAGAAGTGTTATGCACAAGACTGAGAAAGAATATAGGATAAATTATACACTCATGACTGGGTTTATAACTGGCAGGTTCTCATTCGGTAATGTGCATCTTCTTTTAAATACTCTATATGCTGATCATAAAACACTATGGTGCACTACAGCTTCCATCATGTCTGTAGCTGCCCAAAAGACTGTGTAAACTTATATCGCTGCTATCGGAACAAAACCTCATTTCTCCAAAATGAAAACTTCACAGGAGAAGGAAAAAACATATTTTACTTTTAATGTAAGTCAATGGAACCAGACTTTTTACCAAGTAATTTTGGGTCATTTCTTTTGGTCCATTCATATTGAAATTTACACACAACGTAAAGGACTACTGGGACCCTCAAATTATGCCGAAAAGTGAAAAACAACAAAAATGGTCATGCAAGGTTTTGTTCCGACAGCAGCGATATGCTGATGACCTATTATTATGCCTCTCTGACCCTGTCTGTTTCAGCACCCAATTAATTGAACTACGTATACTTAATAAACTTTTCACGATACAATTCACAACTAATAGGAGTAAAAGTGAATACACATCAATTGTGAGGAATCTTAGCCCCAGTGTCCTAAATCCCTTGCCATTTAAACTGGTTAATGTCAAGAAACTAAACTCCCTAAACATTTCTTTAAATTAAACTTGATCAACAAACTCAAGCAAACATTGGGCCTCATTCACCAACTGTTCTTAAGAAAAAAATTCTTCTTAAAACCCTCTTACGAGTTTTCACGAAGATTCTGACATTCAGTAATGTTTTCTTATGTGGGATTTGTTCTTAGGTAAGAACAGAATCTACACAGTCAATTCTGTGGTTTAATAAAGTAGTAAGGCCGTGGATTACTGGGATTTTATGACAGGAAAGATGTTCTTAGGCACAACACTAAAACTCCCTTCCCCTGATAAAATCGCAGTAACACACAGCCTCACAAAAGTCTTATTTAGCAGCAATCCGGCGGCGCCCCTCTTCTGGTGCTGGGGCTGAATCTCAAACAGCTCCCTGCTCCCTACATAGTGCACTATGTAGGAATTTAAATACTGGATCCTGCAGCCCAACAATGCAAAATACAGCTAAGAAATAGTCATTTGGCACTCAGACACATCCATACTCATCCATAATGCACTATTTGGCTGTTGAGGCTAGAATTTCTAAACTTTCATAGCTAACACACTATTTAGTGAGTACAGAGCTGTTTGGAATTCAGCCTGGGTTTGCAACTGACTGAAACACAAGCGTGTAATCCATTCGTGACATTTTTAAGACTTTTATACTGCCGTTTAACAGTTACTCATACCATAAGTACTTTAATTCAAGCCTGTGATATTAATGATGGCATTGTTTAGCCTGTCAGCTAGCTGACTAGCCTGGTTCTAGTTAAGAATAGAAGGCGCCAGCCCCTCAGTTTGAACAAAAAACAGGTACTTACTTCATTAATATACTTGGTGGTCCATGCGAGCAGCATGAAAGTCAAAGATTATTTCATTAACAACACAAGGTTTCTTTTCATGCCGTGGTGCAGTAATTCAGAATTAAAAAAAATAAAATATATATTAAAAAAAAAGACCACCACTAACCTTGCTGTGTTTGGTGGACTGTTGTAATTTCGGTGGGAATGGTGAGAACAGGAAAGGGAGACGGAACTGCTTCATTTGATGCACTCACTGCACAGAAGAATTAACAGACTGGCATTAATGTCAACAAGCAGCCTCTTGAGACCAGTTTCATTTTGCAGCATACACTAAAAAATAGGGTCAAGTTTAAATTCTATGCATATAAAAAAATAAATGCGTGTTAGATATTGTAAATTCATAGTTGTCGTTTTCAATTCTTGGCAGTTTTCAGTATATACACTATATGGCCAGAAGTATGTGGGCAATTATTAATCTCCTAAATATTAATCTCTGTAGATAAACACTGCAGTATAATGGGTTGTACTGAAGAGCTCAGTGATTGGCACTGTCATAGGATGCTACCTTTGCCACAAGTCAGTTCATTAAATTTTTCTATGGTGGTGGTGAATCACACCTAACTATCTAGCAGTCGAACGGACAAATCTGAGTTTGGCAGATGCCACAAAAATGGTCGCTACTGAAAAGCATAATGCTAACAGTGAAGTTTGGTGGAGGAGGGATAATTGTCTGGGGCTGTTCCAGTGAAGGACAATGTTAATGCTACAGCATACAAAGACATTTTAGACATTTATACTTTCAACTTTGTGACAAAAGTTTGGGAAAGACCCTTTCCTGTTTCAGCATGACTGTGCCCCTGTGCCCAAAGCAAGCCTTATGAAGACATGGTTTGATGTGTTGTGTGGAGGAACTCCAGTGGCCTGCACAGAGCCCTGACCTCAACCCCACTGAACACCTTTGGTATAAAATAGAACATCAATTGTGAGCCAGGCTTTCTCTTCCAACATCAGTGCCTGACTTCACAAATCCTCTTTTGACTAAATAGGCACAAATTCCCACAGACAGACTCCAAAAGTGGAGAAAAGTGGAGGCTGTTATAGCTCTAAAGGGGGGTCAACTCCATATAAATTCCCATGGTTTTGGAATGGAATATCCTACAAACAAGTATTGATGCATTGCTTAGGTGTCCACATACTTTTGACCATATAATATTGTACTCATCAAAGCAATATAACGTAGTAGGTCTCCAACCTACCTGCTTCCCCATAACTGGGAGGTGGTGTTGAAGGAGTCGCCGGACCTGTCATATAAGCTGGACACTGACTGGCTTCAGCGTAGGAGGGGGGTGGAGGCATGGAACGGGCTGAGGAACATTGAGGAACATCCATTTACTTTTTGAAACTAGGTAAGAGAGAAAAAGAAATGAATTGATCGCAAAAGAGCTAACTGACTGTTTGATGCACCAAGCACAACATTGCTATAACACTGCAACAGTACTTTGGAATTGCCAGCAGTGACTCAACGTATCTCAATGTATCTGAGGCTCAACACTTGGGGCACATTTAGCCACCACATTATAGTAGTCAAGAAGGAATTCTGCCAAACACACACACACACACACACACACACACACACACACACACACACACTTTCTAAACCACTTATCCTTCTGGGTCACGGGGGTGCTGGAGCCTAACCCAGCAGTCATTGGGCGAAAGGCAGGATACACCCTGGACAAGTCACCAGTCCATTACAGGGCAATTTTTCAGTATTTCTGGATAACTAAATCATTAAGATTAAGTCACTGAGAGTTGTTTTATGTGTAATTCATTGGTCTAGACAAACTCAATCAATGTATATCTGAGGTGATAGAAACCACATGTCTGAAGAATTTAATACCTCTTAAAGCTACCTTGCAGAAAGCCATTATGTGTAATGGTTATGAATGCACTGCCTGATACCTGATACATTGTTTTATGATAGTTTTGAGATAAGGTTTTGGGCCTAAAGGCAAGATTTAAAGATCCATTCATGGCAGAGAAGTGCATACAGATCAAAATAATACCCAAACAAATTGTCCTTTTTTCACATTTCCCCCTAGTTTATCATTGACAGCATTAAATAGTAAATAAAAACTTGACCTCTAAAAAAGACACATCGGTTAACTTTCAGTGTTTGTTTTGAATATGAAATAAAATGGTTATATGTGCGTTATATATTGCGATCCCTGCCTCCTAACACCACCACTGTGAAGAAATGTGAATTTGTAAGTTCATCTATCATAGTCTATAAAGTTTTACTTCAAACTACACTGAATGACTTTGTTTACACCTCAGTGATAAAATTATGCAATGTCTTTTTTTTTTTAATTGCGACATTTTCCTTTAATTTCATGTTATTTTGTTATTTTGCCAGATGTTGATTTTGATGTACCTTTTTATTTCTCTGGAAACAGAGGAAGCACAGAGATGTTTTAAAGACCACTGCGATCCAAAGCAGTGGTCACCAAACTCCTGGAGAATTTCAGCCCAATGTAAATCCTCCAGGCTAGTGTTACATTTGGAAGTAAACTTTAAATCAGAACAAGTAACCTCTGATGTCATGTGTATCAGTCCACATTATATATATATATATATATATATGTGTGTATATAAAATTAAAATCGCACTCTTTTTTCATTATTGCTGTTATACTGACAATAGTTCTATTGCTTTTGTTGCTCAATTTAATGTACATACAATTCCTTCTCAGTAATACATCTCTATTACTGTACACCTTACCACTCTTGCCTCTCTCTGTACTCCATACTCCTCTCACTCCTCTGCTGTCATTTCCTCTTAATGTCTCTCCTGCTCTGTTTAACTGCCACTCATAATTTCCCCCTTGCCACTTTGATATCTTTGATATTCTATAGTACTCTTAATTAAGCAGGTGTATCCTAAATGATTCACAAAGAAAGTCTGTTTACCTGCGAGTTGTCAGCCTGTGTGGGAAAACTTCTTCCTTCTTTATGACATCACTACTTTCATACTAACCCTACCAGTTTACTTTTTCTGTCTGTGCATTCCATAGCAACGAATGGGTGTGTACGTGTGAGCTCAGGATGTTTGTGTTTGTGCGCGTGTGTGTTTGAGGAGAATTCCAACTGTGTAACACAATGTGACCTATCAGATTGGCTGGTATAGCTGTGGTGGAGGGGAGGAGACTATTCAGGAGCTATAACACGTAGGAATCCTGAGAGCCTGCTGAAGAAAGCTAAAGTCACTCTGACATGGCATAAATAATAACTAAACCACAAGCATACATACTGGTCCTTTGTAGTGCATGAAGCAAGATCATTGAGTCAACAATGAACTAATAAGAGTCCATATAAAGACTAGTTTAAAAACCTAACTAGTTATGAAATTATGAAAACTGTTAAACTAACTAACTAAACCAGTGGTGCCCAATTCTGGTCCTGAAGATCCACTACCAACCCAAATGTATCACACCTGATCCAGGTAATGAAGGCCTTCTGGAGCAAATATTACAACCAGGTGTGTTGGATCTCCAGGACCAGGACTGGGCACTCCTGAAATAAACTAATGCTCATTCTCATAGTCAGATTCTGAGTCTCATAATGACAATGCAGTACTTAGTCTTGGTCAGGCAAACATCAGTAGAGAGCAAAGTGGAAGTCTTGACCGTCCTGAGGGCAACGACTTTCATGAAGACCCAGGGCCAACAAAACACACCAGCCAATCAAAACTATTGAAAGCTATCAAATGTTGAAGCATGCACCACCTTGTGTTATTTGTAAATTATTTGTAAATGAAGGGCAGCACGGTGGCACAGTGGGCAGCGCTGTCGCTGCACAGCAAGAAGGGCCTGGGTTCGATTCCCAACCAGGCAACCAGGGTCCTTTCTGTGTGGAGTTTGCATGTTCTCCCTGTGTCTGCGTGGGTTTCGTCTGGGTACTCCAGTTTCCTCCCACAGTCCAAAATCATGCAGTCAGACCAATTGGACATGCTAAAATTGCCCCTAGGTGTGTGAATGTGTATGTCAGTCTGTCTGCCCTGCGATGGACTGGCGACCTGTCCAGGGTGTATCCTGCCTTCCGCCCAATGACAGCTGGGATAGGCTCCAGCGACCCAGAAGGATAAGCGGTTTAGATGATGTATGTATGTATGTATTTGTAAATGAAGGTATTTATCTATCTTAGGTAGCTAGTCAATGAAATGTGTTTGCTTCTGCGAGTTTAGCTTGAAAAGTTTAGTTCTTTTTAAGTTGTCCATCATGATGTGTGTTATCCTGAGTCTGTCATTTTCATGTTATCCTGCATTCTTCATCATCATCATCATCATATGTTGTATTGAGCCAATCATCTACATCATGTGTGTTTTCCTGAGTCCGCCATCATTATGTGTGTTGCCTTGAGATCTTTCCCTCCTGTTCGGACTGTCATCCTAGACTTGACTCTTTCGTTTGATGCCCATCTGTTATAGATCTGTTGTATAAACCTCTTTTTTCCACCTGAGCAATATCACCAAATTCAGACCACATCTTTGTTAATCTGCTGCTGAAGCTCTTATTAATGTTCAGTAACACTTTACTTGAAGGGTGTCTACATAACACATTCATAACATCTTACATAAACACTTCATTACATTTTAATAAATGTTTAAATCAACATTCATAAAGCATAGATGTTTTACATGATATTAATATGGACTACTATGTCATTTTACTGAGAGACATTTTTCGAAATAAAAGTCCTCATTTTTTATTTTGAAAATCTATATTATTTTCAGTAAAATGCCTCATTTCTGGACGGCCAAAATAAAAATTACCTCACTTTCTTCCTTTGGTCATTACGTGCTTTGACACATTCAAGATTCAGTTGAATGACTTTTCCTAAACATAATTTACTGCCCATGTAGTAAAGTGACATGCAAAGCAACAAATGCTTAAAAAAAAAAAGGTGAAAATGTTCCTGAGTGTCAAAGCACTTAATGACCAAACAGGCAAAGAGAGGTCGTTTTTATATTCGCTTTCCAGAATGAGGTATTTTACTGAAAAAGCATAATATTTCAAAATAAAAAATTGAGGATGTTTATTTTGAAACCTGTATCTCAGTAAAAAGCAGTCCATATTAATATCATGTAAAATGTATCTTTTTTACAAATGTTGATTTACACATTCATTAAAATTGATGTACTGTAAACATCTTTGGGTTCTGGAAAAAAGCTTTATGAGTATCGTATTATAACTAATATTATTATCATGTGTTCTGTCCTCAGTCCATCATTATAGATCATGTGATTTCCTTAGTCTATCATCATGATCCTGATCATCATCATTTATGTTGTCCTTTTTTTTTTAATCTTCTGATGTTTGTAAGTGTATAACAAAAAAACCCCTCAATAAATATCAAAATATAGGGCAGATTTTGGCCGTTGTGCTAACCATGATGACTCTGATACCAACAGTTTTATAGAACAGTAACTTCTTACTTATCTTATGAAACATTGGTTTATTTATGATGAATAAAATACATACTATATGTCATTCTTATTGCTAATCCATTTGTAGTTATATTTAGCGGCTATGTGTGCTCATGTCAATTGTTAATTCTTAATTTAATAATGTAAAATATTCTGTAGGTTGTGTAACTTGACATGCATTTTGGTTCTAAATTAAATTTTTAATATTAGTCATAACGCTTTTTTACCACCTCAACACCCTTATATATCATTTTTCATTTTTTTGACTTAATTTGAAAAGGTCAGTTGACCTTTATGTTGTGTCAATTTTTCATGATGAGTGCAGAAATGGGACGAAATTACTTGGAAAACATTTTTTATCCATTTACATCCATTAAAAGTTGTTTAAGAATGTTTTTCCTTGTCTGGTGAAGTTACATTTTTGGAGATATGAAATCTTGTTCTGAGAGCAGCAATTTCTTATTCATAATTACTCTCAAATTCAGACAACTGACAAAAAGTACCCCCCAAAAAAAAACGTATTTACTTTAGTTTAACATGATTGGCTGTTCACCATAAACATCATGCTTTCATTCCTGCTGCAGTTACAGAGTACTTGGAATGATCAGCTTTGCATCTTTGCTAAACATCGCTTCCCTTTTGACTGCTTGGATAACTTAGGCTGGCTTATTTGATTTTGCCATTTAGGTGGCCGCACTACTGTGTTTTGATATGTATATATAAGTTTACTTCCTTTATTATTTAGTGTACAGTTGAAATTGGTAATTGTAGGATATTTTTATTTTTTGTCTTTGTGCACTTCACAGGTATTTGTAGGCCAGGCTCCAAGGTGCTGCTGTTTTGTCTCTACATTGGTTTTGTTCATTGGTTTTGTTTGTATTTTCTGCTGATTGTTATTATTATTATTATTATTATTATTGTTTTGTTTTGTTTTGTTTTGTTTGTATGTGGGGGAGCTATTGTTTTATTCATTTGTTCAGTTTTGTTTGCAGGATTGGGTTTATTTGGTTGGCCCAATTGTGTATTAGCATGGTGGAGTTGTTCCCACCTTTTTCTTTTTTTCCATGTGTTGGACAGGAGCTGTGGGCTTATGTGGGTGGCAGATATACCTTCCGGGTGGTGGAGTCCTTTCACTGGTCCTGTATTGTAGTTCATGTGTGGTGTGTAGTATTAGGATGCTTCCTCTTTTTGTAGTCCTTTCTGCCGTGGTAGACCCCAGCTCTGTTCCTTGTGTTTTTGGGGGTTTTATTTATAAGCTGATGAATCTATGAGGTATTGCGCAATACTTATTATGTGGCTAATTTCGGGGGGAGTGGGGTGTTTTTGTTGTAAGTTCTTTGTGTCTGTATTCATTGAGATTGGTGTCAGTATCTTGCCTTATTGACTGTGGGAAAATAAAGTTGTAATATTTATTTATTTGTGGACTCTGGTTTCTGGTCTTTTAAGTGTTTTAAACCTGTTTGAAATTCCCCCAGGTGACGTAGTTGATCTTTTAAATGTTCTGCTTATGCCACAATACCGTGCCATTCTGTTTAGTCAAACAGATTAAAATGGGCATATACAAACCTCTGGTTCTGCAAATGTTGACTCTTTTTCCCTCTGTTTTTCATCTCCACCCATATTGGATTGTGGTTGTGATTGTGTTTGTGTGCACTTAAAAACTTGCACAGTGTCGCACAGTGTGTGTCTGGTGGGACTATGAAAAGAAGGAACGTTTATAGTGATCAATGCTATCTAGCTTGGCTAGTGGGCTACAGATCCAAACAGTAGCACACACTACAGTACAGGTTTGGGCCTGACTAATCTGCCCTCTGTTGTTACAAATGTAGACAAAAAACTCATGTCTGAGAGAGCAAAAAAACTCATGTCTAGTGACTGGTGTTGGAGCCGGTATCAAACATGTTCTGTGGAGTGTGACAGCTGTTAGCAGTCGCTGAGCCACTCTTGTATTTTTTTTTTTTCTGGTTGTGATTTAACAGCATAGCAGATGGGGGAAAAAAAACATAACCTTTCTTTGCAAGTCTGCACCAGCATGGAGTGGCACAGTATAGCCCTGGAAACCATTTAGCTCTACAGTGGGAAAAAAGGCCTAAGCAACTACCCAAACACATTAGCTGCCTTGCAATTTTTTTCTCATTTGCATCTAAAATGGCTATATGTGTTATTTCTATAGAGATTAGATGTAAGATAGTTCTATTTCATGAGGAAGGGAAAGGTCAAAGGAAAATAAGTGAAAAAAGGAGTCTTCAAAGAATTATTAAAGGAAAATTTAAAAATATTTAAAGGAAAATGATACTCCCAACAACTGTACAGCACCTGGTAGACCACCAAACCTGTCACCATCAGATAAACAGAGGACAAAATCAAGCTCAGATCAGAAAAAATCCACAGGAGATTCTGTCCATGCTTCCACTGTTAAGAAGACAGTTGAGCGCTATGGGTCTGAAAGGATGTGTAGCTGTCAAGAGGTCATTACTGAAAAAGGGAAATAGACAAAAAGAAGGAACATTTGCACTAGAACACCGAAACAGGACACCTGAGATGCGAAGTAAGCTTTTATAGACTGGTGAGTCTACATTTGTAATTGGGATTACTTGGACTGTGAGTAGAAGAAAATGCAACCACCTTCTAAGACTGAACTTTGGAAGTATGAAGAACATCCTTGCAGATTTCTTTGCAGGGCTATCACTGAGTTTCGAACTGGTAAAAACAACTCTGTATAACTTTCCCAGGGCTGAACCTGTTGGGGCAGGAGGGGATATAAATTCAGTTCATTTCTGCTAATGAGATGCGTGGTGGTGTTAACTAAGCACCTGCTGCCGGCAGATGTTCTAAACGGCTGGTGGCGCCTCGCGTTTAACTGATGGCGAAAAAAAAACATAGCAAGTGCTTTATACGCTGTCAAAACCCTGACCAATTCTGATCCTCTTGGCTTGCTATATATTTTTGCTGCATGCTGTGCGCGGCATGCTAGTAGTTTCTATGCAGAAACAGTAGAGAAACGCAGTGTCTATGCTATAATATACAATGTAGGCTAATAAACAAATCAACAAATCTAGTTTTAACTCTTTGACAGGTTGACTGAAATCCCTTGAGTAGGTTAATGTTGTGAACACACAGGTATCCCCTCCTCGTCTAGAGCTACATCACCTGGGGAGAAAGGCAGCAACAGTCACTGCAGCTAGTCAAGATTTTATTGTTTATCTCTTTTATGTCATCTACATAAAGTTTGTATGATTAATAAACGGCCAATACAGACATTTATATTACGTGAAAACGCAACACAAACAGCAACCGCTTTTGCTTCGAGACGCGTGTGTCGTGTCTGGTGTGAAATACCAAGCGTCGCGCAGTGGTTCTGGATTAACACGCGCGTCGCATTTGGTGTGAAGTGGGCTTGAAATGGGCTTCAGTCATACCGTCACACTGCCTGCAACCGTACAGAATCTCACACTTCCAAAACACAAGATGGTGCTAGTGCCTTGATGACATCAGATTTCATTACATATATTCATTCATTTCATATTCTCAAATTTCATTCCATATATTCACAGTTTTCAGTCATTATATATATAAATAATTTCCTAAACGGCATGCCAATATATATATATATATATATATATATATATATATATATATATATATATATATATATATATATATATATATATATATATATATATATATATCTACCCCAAACTGTTGCCTCAAAGTTGGAAGCATATAATTGTCTATAATGACTTTGTATGCTGTATCACTAACATTACCCTACAGCAGAACTGAGGGGCCCAAACCCTGAAAAACAACCCCAGGCCATTATCCCTCCTCCACCAAACTTCATTTTTTGACACAGCAAAATGTTTTGATACAGCCGTATGCTAAATGCTAACATTTCCATCTTCAGTTTATTAAAGCATTCAACATTATAAAAGTACATTATTTTAGGCTTTGCAATTGCACTGTTGAGTTTTACCATTCAGACTGTTTAGCACATTATATATATATATATTATATGAGCTTTTAATGTAATACATTATCAAACACAGTACAAAATACATTATAAAGGGCTGTCTCCACCAAACCCTGAAAGGACACACATTACAACAACTTTGAACTACCATTAATTTCTTATTCAATCACTAATGTAGCTATGTTTAGTTTACATAGTTTACAAATACATAGAAACAGAGCCATAATCTGTTTCTACTCATTGTTTGTCAATAAAAACACTTACCATTGGTTATATTATTTTCTCTCTTGAATATTAAAAATATTTTCAAAAGTTGCAAATCCAGTAAAGTGCCATGGCACTGTGCTTAATCAAGGGACAACAACTAACCATTTTTGTCTTAAAATTACATGAAATGAAAGGCTTAAAAAAATTAAAGCATTGACTAAAAATAAGCTTGTTCTTAAATGGTCCAAAAATATCATTTTAATTGTGCCATCAATAAATCATCTCTTGCTTTGAGACACAGGACTTTAAGGAAGTGACTTTCATTCTAAAGAAGGATGGCAATTTTGGACGAGAAGACCTGGCTCACAGTCAATGTCCCTGTTGATGCCAGAGATGTCCAAAGGGGTGAGGGTCAGGGCTCTTCATCCCGAAGGTGTTCAGTGGAGTTGAGGTCAGGGCTCTGTGCAGGCCACTGGACTTCCTTCACACCAAACTTATCAAATTCCCTGATGAGCATAGTTTTATTCAAATTAATTTAATAAAGTAAATTCACAAATTAATTCTTAAATAATCAGTGAAAATGAGTGCATTTCATTTTGCATAGATTAAAGTGGCATGGTACTTTTGGAAGAATGGTTTTCCATTCCTCCAGCACTGTTGAAGAGATTTGTATGTTTTAAAGGGTTAACACATTTATAAATGGGCTGACATTTGAAATCTTCATTTCAGAAAATAATCTGATGGCCAAAATGTGTCATAGATCTGTTTGTCACAAGCTTTAAAGTGAGATGCCTTTCAAAAAAATGTAATAAGTCAACCTGTTAAAATGTTAACTTGTTATTTACAAAAAATATTAATATAAGTTATATATATATATATATATATATATATAATTTTGTTGTATTATTATTTTTTTGCTCATATTTATACAAATATTTATATACAAAAAATTGAAGAGGCATAATAATCAGATTTTTTTTATCTTTTATTTCTATTTTTATTTAATATATTTTTTTTATTTATTCTCATTTTATCTTCTTTTTTCAGTTACTATATTGTTGTCATTTTTATTTTTTTAATGTACTTTTTCTCTTTTTACTACTTTTTTTTTTTACTTAACTACTATGATTGTTATTACTTTTTTAGCAATTGGTTTGCTTTTACTATTTCATTTCTCAATCCCTGTTGTCTCTATTGGCTCGGATACATTGTAAATCTGGGTCTCCCTTAATGTGCTCCAAGTTTAAATAAAGGTTGATTGATTGATTGATTGGTTTATTGATTGATTGATTGATTGATTGATTGATTGGTTGGTTGATTTCTAAAATCCAGATATAGTTGGTTCCATGTTTTCTAAAGAGAAAGAGGACCCCAGTGTGTCATGCGACAAGAAAGCATGCAAAAATATAAATTTATTTAAGTATGACAACATGCTGAGATGGCCCAGTAGGGTTTTCTCATAATTTAATAAGTCTCTTATTCGAAGAGGTGGCAAGAGTGACAGAAAGTAAAACTATTTTCTTTGACAAATGCTTCCTTCAATGCTGAAATGACCCGCGTATCTTTACATCTCAAGAAGCCATAGCGTCTCATTCAGAGCTAAACAAAGTGATTAACCATAGCTACTCAGAAAACCAGTCATGTCACTGCTGACTGAGTAGTGTTTTCTGCATTATTAAGACTTGGCTGTTTCCATATTAAATCCATGATTATGTAAAATAAGACCTTCTGAAACTACCAAGGTCTGAACATTGGTTTCCTCATGCTAGTTATGGCCATGGATGCATGTGCTTTTGGCAGATTTAAATGGCACTGTACTCAAAACGGCCTCTGCTTCATGTATCATATTCCAGGTCTAGTGAATACCCCTCAACCTATATATGGAAAGTAGGTTTAGCATGGAATCCATATCAGTGAAGGGTAATTTGACATATTGAGATTCTAACTACATGTTCAAATTGATTTTATCCTATTTTTTTTGTTTACAATGGATTTTACAAAGGAACACGCGAAACTACCACTTTTAGCGAAAATTAATTTCTTCCAAGTAAAAATTGAATTTTTACTAGTTGAAATTTAATATTTACTAGTGTAATTTTAATTTTCACATATGCAATTCAAACTCTTGATCAGGAAAATGTAATATTTACTAGTAGAAATTTAATCAATGTATAAATTGTATTCCTGAAATCAAGAAAAATAGGAAATAAAAACTAAAATGGCTTGGCTTGCCATAGTAATTAGAATTTCAGCACAGCCATATAGTTTTTAATTGTATTTAAAAAATACCACATGTTAAGCTTTAATTCATGTTAGTAAAATTGGAAATGGGATTGGAAAAAGCCTTGATCAAATGTTCATTTCAGTGAAAAATGAAATCTTACATGCTCATATATAATTTCTACAATTAAAAGTTCAATTTTAACTTGATTAAAAGTTAAAAGCGTCTTTACCAAACAGTTTGCTATTATTTGTCAGCACTTCGTCCATTAAAATTCATAGCTCTGTTTCGGCAAACTTTGTTTTTTTTTTTTGTTTCTTTATTTTCATATCTTTCATCATGTCCATTTTGGATGCCAGTTGGAGCTTCACTTGGCGTGGGTCTTTAATATGTTTGACCTCATTTACATTTAAATTTTGATTGTCTTTTTTCTTGAACACAAGTGAAAATACTACACCGTCAAAAAGACACTGATGTGCTAATCACTGCCACGGTGACTTTATGAATAGGTCTTATTTACTGGGCAGCACACTTTGCCCAGTAAATAAGATGCAGCGCTGTTACAGCTGTTTTATGAATCTGGCCCGATAAGTTGTGTGTCATATGTATACACCAATACTGTGAACCACAGTCTGTTAGCTTTTAATTTGTTGGTTCAGTTGTTGCTGTTCTAGTACTTCAAGTGGTGCAAGTGGGGACTCACCTGTTTCTGCTGCTCTGTGTTCTGTGTTGACTGAGAAATAATGCTTCCGTGTTGTTATAGGTGAAAGGAAAAGAGAAACATCTCACGGTCTGAGCAACGTAAAAATATGTGATGTTCAAGTTTCATGCATTCTTACATGCAACACCTCAGATTACCAACACTTCTCCAGACTGAGCAGCTCGATTTCTCAGAACTCTAAAAGGTAAGTGAAAGTAGGGTTCTTCATGTCTTGAATTAAAATATAAATAGTTTGGCATCGATCTCTGAAATCGTAAATGTTTGTAAGTATCAAAGTCAGACAATGTGGCAGTTTTTTATTTCTAATATAACATCAAATATTTGTAGTATTTAGTGGCTCTTCAGATCAGACTTGCAATTTTATTGTGGTTTTATTTATGAAACTAGGAAGCAGCTTAAATTCACTGTGTAAAGCATGTTGTTCAATTGAATCATTAACTTCATGTACATAGAGTTATTATTAACCTTTTAACAAGGATGAGTAATAACACATTGCATTTACTCAGATACATTTCTGATTATTTTCAAATTATAATACATTTACTTATAATCATATTATAAAGTATATTTGTGAAGAAAGTAATCTATGTTTTCCTCAGTTTAAACATTCACATTGTGAAGCCATTAGTTTTTGCTTTTTTGGGTTTTATGTCATTATGTTCTGTTCGGTTTGTACCTGGGCTCCTTTAATGTTGCTCATATTTGCCATTTCAAGCTTATAATTTAGACCAAAATTATCCCAAAAAGAAAATTAGAAATCTCAGTTCCTGTGCTGATAGATGTTGCTGTGCTGATAGATAGCATCAAGACATCCCACCGTGGTCCTATAGGGATACTTCCTTTGTCTTTTTAAGCTTTTTTTTCTGATTTTCTGGCAGAAGTCACAGACTTTAAACTTGTATGGGATATATCCTTGGCACTGAGCATGGTCACTTTAGACTCATTTGCAGCTGCCCCAGAGCATCTCATTCTATTGTCAGTACTTTTTTATGGAGCTGTGTGAACATTTAAATGCTTGTGTCAGTAATGGGTGCACCTTAAAGTAGCTGAATTCACTGTTTAGAAGGAGTGTCTGGATACTCTTGGACATGTTGTGCATTTCATTATAATATTTGATGTTACTAAAGAAATATCATGAAAGAATTAAAGAGGTGACATTCTAGTAAAATGAAACTGAAACTAAAGCTTGTGTTATAGCAATAACATACTGTTATCAAAAACTTTGCATAATTTTTGCAGCAGGAGGACAATGTCTCGAAAATCTGATTACAGGTGGGTAGAATTTTTTTTTTACTGAAGTAAAAGTATTGGTTCTTTAGAGTAATATTTACTCTTGTAGAAGTAAAAGTAGTTATCTAAACAGTTACTTGGGTATGAAGAATGTATCAAGCTCACATGGAAGAATTTAAAATTGTGCGGACCTTAATTTTACATGCAATCACAGATGCCCTTCTTCTTTTTTCAACAAGCCACACTCGTCCCTTGTTGGAGAAGATCCACAGTTATAAATAAAATTGCAATCAATATTCAGTATGACGGACCCTTCAAACCTATGTGATTGGCGAAACAGAGTCATGTAAAATCTAAAATGTGACTATGATTTGAGAGGAGATGTTAGGGTGTGACTAACAATAGTCATGTACATTCTTCTCCGGAATAACAAACAAAGAAAATGCAGCACGTTAATACCCACCTCTGGATGTGTATGTGAATCAAATGAGTATAATCCCCCTTTCTATTATGTCTTGAACTATTTATTTCCATAACCTGCAAAGGGTGTTTTCCAACATTTTTGGGGCGGCTCTCCAGGTTCGCGAAGTACCCAAAGCCGCATCTCCTTGTGCACTTCCAGGTAAGTTGCTGAATACAATTTGTATGGAAGCCAAATGATAGAAAGAACTATCACTACCCAAAACTTGTGAAAAAACGTGATCAAACTCTTATCAAGTTGAATGTAAGTTAAATGATAACACACATAAACATCCACTAATGTTAAGTCCAAACCCATAGGAAATAAAAATAAAAGTAGAAATCTTAATGTCTCATTTAAATATGTCTTTAAAAGTAACTATTCCATTTTCTATTTATAGGCATATTGTTTTTATTTCATACTATTGACACCACTCAAAAAATAAAAAATACAAAACACAGCTAGTGCAGAAACCTCTCATACACTGCAATTATACAAAGTTTGAATATGTTATTTTACATATTTAATAATAATCACACTACACAATCACATCTTCCTACCATCTTCCACTATTTTTAATACAACTTTGATGAATAAGGACCATCATACTCTATACTAGCTATTTCTTCCGAGGATGTTTAGGAGAATCACCATTACGTCTCATCATAACCAAAAAGCAGCATTTGAGCAGGAAAATTTTCCTCTGGGGGATGATGTGGGTGTTTTCGCTCCAAGAATGTTTGGCATTTAAAGTCCACAAACTGGTTTCCAAAGTTTCACTGAAATGATAGAAGTATTTTGTGACTGTTACCTATGTGGTTATGTAGGCCTATTATCAAACAAAAGTTTATTTATGCACATACATACTATTGAATCTTTTTCATTTTCACAGAATTTGACAAACCATGGAGGGCAGTGGCATGGAGGTATGACCAGTGACTGACCAGATATTACTTTGTCAAGGTAGATTAACTAATTGTCCGATATGCCAGTGCATCAGCTAATTTCCTGGTATGCTTCCTACGTAGTGAAGCCAACAAACAACAGATGTTGAGAAAACTGAAGGAATTCCAGCCTAGCATGCCAGACGTCAATCAGCTCAAGATTCTGCTTCATGGCCCAATTGGAACAGGAAAGTCCAGCTTCATCAACTCTGTCAACACCGCCCTCCAAGGCCGCAACATAGCAGCTGCACTCGTTGACTCAGCGACTGGTAAAAGCTTCACTTCCAAGGTACAAACATTAGTTCAAACTCTTATTCTTTTCAACAGCTAAATGATCACAAACATTTTCCCCTTCAAAGCATTCTGAAGGTCATTTGAGAGAGTGTATTACTCCATTGAACTGAACTGCAGTTCACAGTTCCCCTAATGCTTCATTAACTTGATCTTAAGAATGTTCTTGCCATCTACATGTAAATATCAGGAAATAAAAGCTGAAATTCTGATCTATTGCCTCATATTCATATTTTGATCTCAAACACAAATGTCTTCGGTTTGTAGCAAAAAAAAAAAGAATTAGCTTTTGTCGTTCCAATACTTTCAGAGGAGCAGTATACTGTAGTATATTATCACTGTCTGAACAAATCTTATATCTACATTTTTGCTGTTTTTCATTTTTATTACATAATTTGTGGGCCAATAGAATCAGTCCAAAATTGCTTGGAATAAAATGTTTGGTGAGACTTTATTTTGAGTGGTACTTTGTTGATGAAATAAACACTCAAAATACTCTCAGTAACATCAACTACATATCAATGATGTAGCAACAGTTTATACATTCAGTAGATTATCAGGAGACTTTTGAATAAAATTTGTTTATAATCTACTAAATTCAGTTGTTTTTCAATATATTTGGAGTGTCTAACTTCATATCTGTATATGTTTAACCTGAGAGGAACTGAACATACAACAAGTCTAATACAGACCGTCTCAACATCCTCAACAAGCTGTTATAGACACACTGCTGACACCATCCTGTACCTGGATCTTAACTGGATTAGGTTTTGGTTAAGGTTACGGTTAGGACAAGGAGGTTTAAGGTTAAGTTTTGGGTTGAGGTTAGGGCTAAGGTTAGGTTTTGGGTTGAGGTTAAGGATTAGGGCCAGGATTAGGATTAGGTTTTGGGTTGAGGTTAAGGTTAGGATTATGATTAGGACCAAGATTAGGATTAGGTTTTGGGTTGAGGTTAAGGATTAGGGTTAAGATTAGGGCCAGGATTAGGATTAGGTTTTGGGTTGAGGTTGGGGTTAGTGTTAGGATTAGGGCCAGGGGGAGAGTTAGGTTTTGGTAAGGTTGGGTAATGTTAGATTTTGCTCAGTGGAAGTAACATATTAAGTTTACTTCATGTAACATATCAATTATACATCTTCTTAATGTAAGTAATGTATCAACAGTACATCTTCCAAGATATTTACCTCAGTGTATTCAGATGCTTCATTACTGCTACTTCACTGATGTGTTGTTGATGTGTTACTGATACTCTGATGTTAAGAATTTATTATTCATCTACAAAGACCACTCAAAATAAAGTGTTACCAAATCTACTTACATTAACGTACATTTAAAGTTAAGAGTGTTTTCCTTCCCCTGGAATGTTACTTTTTTTGTTCACTAATGACTTATTACCCTGTAATCTTAGCAGGTGTTTATTTTTCCTAGAATGTACTTCTGTGTTTTGTGTCCAGTTCAAAATCCATAGGCTGAAGAAAGATGGACCAGGATCTTACTATCCATTTGTCTTCTCTGACATCATGGGTCTGGAACCAGGCAGTTCAGAGGGGGTCCACACAGATGATATAATCAGCATATTAGAGGGCCGTGTGAGAAATGGTTACATAGTAAGTTGATGAACATCCTAAATTATTTATCACATTCTAAGTATTGTCAGCATAGAGATACATAAAACACATATGAAACATACTGTATGTGAGGTAATGAAATATAATACCATATGAAATGCTCACTGTTTATAGTAATTGTAATGGTGGCAGATGAAACCAGATGCTTGCAGACGAGGCTTGAGTTTAGAACTTTAATAACAAAGGGTTGATCCAAAATCACAGTCGGAAAACATAAGCAAGGCAAAAATCAAGGTCAAAAACGAGATACAGGTCATACACGGAAAAACAGACAAAAGAGAAATGCTCAGTATGCTGATAACGGAGACAATACTTTTGCAACTTTGCAGTTTATATACTGGTGAAAACAGGTGTGAATAATCAGAAGTCCAGTGATGCTGAGCATTGATAGGTTGATCGATTGGATTCCTGAGTCATGTGACAAAGCAAGGGTTTCTGGGCGTTGTAGTGTGAGGCAGCCCTGTCAGTAATAGTAGTTTCAGCCAGGCTGGAGGGAGGCATGACAGTACCCCCCAAGGAGTCCGGGACGGCCAAGGAATGAGGAGGCCTGTGATGACCACCACCTACCAGACAGGAACTGGAGATGTTCATCCTGGGACGTCCTCAACATCACTGATTTTCTTTCTCATTCGGAATGGACCAATGTACTTGGGCTGTAACTTACGACTACCCACCCCAAACCTGAGGTTCCTTGTGGACAGCCAGACCCAGTCCCCAGGCTGAAAGGAAGGGGTCTCCTCACAGTGCTTGTCCACTTGCTCCCTTCCACATATGAGTGCCGCATTGATGTTGCAGTGTGTCTGTTCCTAGACCTCCTAGCATTTCATCCAGTTGTCTACAGCCAGGATGTCAGAAGGTGAAGCAGTCCAGGGTGCTAGTGGAGGCTGATATCCAATTACACTTTGAAATAGTGTTAAGCGAGTGGCAGAACAGACTAAGGAGTTTTTTAGCAATTTCGGCCAAGATTAGGAACTGGGACCAGTCCTTGGGGTTGCTGCTATAGAATACCCAAAGGAATTTACCTAATTCTTGATTCATGTGGTCACATTGACCTTTGATTGGGGATGATACCTGGAGGTAAGGCTGACATTAATGCCTAGGTGTTCACAGAATCCTTGAGGTGAATTGCAGACCTCTGTCTGACACAATGTCTTCCGGTATACCAAAATTACAAACAATAGTCTTCTGAAGGAGGCAAATCAGTAACAATGTCAATAGCTATATGAGACCAGGGGCATTCTGGAACTGGTAAAGGCATTCGGCAGGGTCTTAGGTGTTTTACTTTGGGCACAAACTGAACACGAGGACACAAACCGATGGACATCTTGTTTCAAAGTCTCCCACCAATAGCACTTGGATAGGATCTGTTGGGTACAAAACTCACCAGAATGATCATAGCTCAGAGAGGATTGCACCCAAGTGATTAAATGATCATGGAATTGGGTTGGTACGCAAAGCTTTTGCTGAGGACTCTTCATCTATTTCCCAATAAATGGATGCTATCTGTACATAGGATGGTAGAACGGGCTCAGGCTCAGACATACTCTTAAAGTTTCTAATGAAACATTTGTAGAAGTTGGCAAAACCCAGGAACTTCTGCAAGTCCTTCACAGACTTTGGAGTGGACCAGTTAACCACAGCCTCAACCTTATGATTATCCATCAGCACTCCCTGAGTGCTAATTATATAACCTAAAAATGAGACCTTTTGAAGGTGAAACTCACACTTCTTTCCTTTAATGAACAAATTGTTTTCTAATACGTTGCATTGTAGGACTTGGTTGACATGTATTTTGTAGTCAGGGGAATAGATCAGAATGTCATCTATGTAAGCAATTACAAACTTACCAATCGCGTCCCAGAGGACATCATTAATGAATGATTGAAAGACTGATGGTGCATTAGAAAGACCGAAAGGCATGACTGGGTACTCATAGTGCCCCTATTCATAATGAAAGCTTCCATTCATATCCTTCTTTAACCCGTACCAGATTATAAGCACTGCGGAGGTCTAATTTGGTGAAATACCCAGCTGCACAAAGCTGTTCCAGAGCTATCGGGATCAAAAGAAGAGGGTAGGTGATTTTTTTATTGATGCCATTAAGAGCATGATAATCAATACAGGCCCTATACCACCATCTTTCTTTTAAACGAAGAAAAAGCCAGATGAGGGAAAACTCTGAACAGTCAATTATTAAGAATGGTAAATGTTCCTTATGGAGAAATCTGGCTTCAAGCTGAAGGGGTTCTGTGATGAAAGAGACTTTCAGTGGTATTTGAAGATCCGCACAGGAACCTGTAGTTTGGCCACCATGCTGGAATGAATGAAGTTCTCTTCTGCTCCTGAATCTATCAGTGCTGAAATGACAAGCGAAGACTGACAGTAGCATAGGGTTACAGGGAAGAGAACAGACTTCCAAACCAACCCCTTTGTGGGAACACTCACCATATTACCACTTCCCTGGGTTGGTACCTAAGGTCCGTGCGGATGAGCCTGACAGTCACGTAAAACGTGAAAGACAATGAAGCCTCTCCTCTCTGGACAGCCTGAATGAATCACATTGCATGGGTTCAGGAGCTAAGCTGGAACTGATGCGGGAACTGGAACCGGAAAGGGAACTGGAACTGGAACTTAAGGTTACATAGGCACAGAGAGAACTTTTGTGCAATGGCCGTTTTTGTAGGAGTTGATCAAGTCTAATAGAAAGGTCAATGATCCAATGTTAAGTTGTCATCTTTGCAAGCCAATTCAGTTAGGACTTCAGGACTTCAGAGTCCATTTTGAAAAGCTGCTATGGGTGCAGGCTCATTCCAACCACTTCCTGCAGCCAATGTGTGAAATTCTAATGTGTAGTTAGCCACTAAGCGATTGCATTGTTTAAGCTTGCACAGTTCTCTGCTGGAATGACCATCATGAGGATGATTGAAAATTGAATTTTTTCAAAAAATTTTCAGAACACATTTCTTAAATACGAGACCATCCAGCAGCTGCCCACTCTAATGCTTTATCTGAGAGGCATGAGACAATGATTGCTATTTTGGCCTTATCTGTACTAGATGGGAAATTACTGAAAAATATGGGGCATTGTAGAAGGAAACTCCAACACTTGTCTGGAGATCCGTCAAACTTATCAGGTTTACTCATGGAAAAATATTGATGACTCACTGGGGCAGTTTCATTAGTGGTAGAAAGTGGGAAAGTAGCAGGAGCAGGTGAAGCAACAGAGAGATTATGTAGTTGTGCAGCAATGTCCTCGATACCTGTCAGGAGTTGTGCTGGGCCTGCTGTTCAGCTTGTTGTTGAGTTAGGTCCCCAACAGACCGAGTAACCCCTGCCAATGCTTGCTGATGATTTCCCAGAAGCTGACCTTAATTGCTCAGGTTCTTCTTAACAGCCTCAATGTCCGCCGTCTGCATGGTGGCAAAGTATCCTGTAAAGGTGGCAGACGGAACCAGGCACTCGCAGACAAGGCTTGAGTTTTGAACGTTAATAAAAAGGGTTGATCCAAAATTACAGTCAGAAAACAGAAGCAAGATGTCAAAAACCAGAGATCTAAAACTAGGCAAAATGGAAAGGCAAAAATCAAGGTAAAAAACAAGATGCAGGTCATACACAGAAAAGGGCAAACAGACAAAAGAGAGATGCTCAGTATGCTGATAACAGAGATGATTTATAAACTGGTGAAAACAGGTGTGAATCTGCAACCCTATTTGCTTATAGTTTTAGTAATTGTCATGTTTACATTATAGCAGGCCAGACATCACATACAGTACAGGAATATATGGTGATTAGAAAACACCTGCTGTCTCTGCTTTGCTGGGTGAAAGAAAGTGTGAGACTACTTTTCATATTTTGAATAAAGTTAATGAAAAAAATGTTAATGTTGAAATTTAGTCATTGATAATTTTAAGTTTCTGTGGCACCACTGAACATGACATTTGTATCAGGACACTAATTTATTTATTTATTTTTTTTTTTTTCTCAGTTCAATCCTGTCTGTCCACTTGACAAAGAACACCCTAAATACAACAGCAACCCAAGCCTGAAGGACAAAGTTCACTGTCTGGTAAGTGTTCTACCAGCAGACAAAATCTCCATGATGACCGACGAAGTGATCAAGAAGATGAAAATTGTTCGGGAAAAAGCTCGTAACTTGGGTGAGTCTTAATGTTTCTGTTTCATCAACAGTAAAGATGATAATTAAACTTTGAGATACACAAGCAGCTTGTGTGCCCTTTAACAGACATACCCCAAGTGGTCATTATGCCCTTGGTGGATAGTGCATGTCCATTAGTCCAAGAATGCCTGAATAAGATCTACACCAGCAAGAAAATCAAAGAGAAGGTGAGTGCAGTAGCCATATGGCTATTTTGCAATAGCCATATTGTTTTTTTCTTTTTGTAACTTAATCCCCTCCAAATCTCACAAAAGCTACAAATGGGCTAAGATCATTTAAATTTCATGTTGACATTTGACATTTTTGGAAGCAGTGAATGCAGCAGTTTTGAAGGGCGACACAATGTTTTGGGGATTATAAACTTTGTAGCAAGCTGTTGTCTTTTTTGTTTACAAGACTTACATCATGGTAAATTACTCTTGAATTAATTTTGCACCAAAAATTAAAATAATGAAATAAAATCCACATCTCCTAATCATTGAGTTCGGGTGTTTCAGCCACACCCAATGCTAACAGGTGGCTAACATTAAGCACATAGCCTTGCAGTCTTGATAGACAAACACTGGCAGTAGAATGAGTCATACTGATGAGCTGAGTGACTTCAAACATGGCACTGTGATTGGATGCCACCTCTGCCACCTCAGGAGCCATCATGCTTCTCTATCTGGCAGTCTGATGGACGTGTCTGGATTTGGTCAATGCCAGGATAATGTTACCTGCCGGACTGCATGGTGCGAGCTGTAAAATTTGGTGGAGGAGGGACAATGCTACGGGGTTGTTATTCAGGTCTAGGCATCTTAATTCTAGTGAAGGGAAATCTTAATGCTTTAGCATACCAATATATTTTGAACAATTTTATGCTTCTAACTTTGTGGGAACAGTTTTGGGAAGGCCCTTTTCTGTTGCAGCATGACTGTACCACAGTGCATAAGGCAAGGTCCATGAATGCATGGCTGGGTGAGTTTGTTGTGGAAGAACTTGGCTGGCCTGCACCCTTGGCTGGCCCTGACCTCAACCCCAACGAACACCTTTGGGATGAACTACAAAGGAGATTGCGAGCCAGGCCGTCTCGTCCAACATCAATATCTGACCTCAGAAATTCCCACAGACACACTCCTAAATCTTGTAGAAAGCCTTCACAGAAGAGGGGAAGTTGTTATAGGGAAGTTGCAAAGGGGGGAACAACTCCATATTATTGCCTATGGATTTAGAATGGGATGTCATGAAAGGTGCCGGGGGGGGGATTGTGTAGGTGTCCCAATACTTTTGTCCGTATAGTTAATTAAAAAATGACAAATTTGATATACAAATAATGAAAACTAAATACAGAAAACCCAATGTTCATTACTTCAATAAACAATCTGAAAGGTTGACTCATCAGACCACAATATACATGCCCTCTGTCTATGAGTCCATTTCAGACAAGCTCAAGTCCAGAGAAGTCATTTCTGAACATTGTTGACATATGACTTTCACTCTACTTACTTTGGTCACAACTTGCATTTGATGTGATGAACAGTGTTTATTGGTCACAGTTTATCAAAGTATTCCTGAGCCCATGTGGTGATATTAATCACAGAAGCATGCCAGCTTTTAATGCAGTATCATTTAAAAAAAAAAACAACAAAGTTTCTAAAAGAAAACATTACATATCTTGTCTTTGTACTGCTTTCATTGAAATGCAGGTAAAAGTGGATTTCCGTTTTTATTAGCATTTCACATACAGTCCCAACCTCTTTGGAATTAGGATTGTACTACTACACTAGACATACTATACTAATGAATGTAATGCTAATGCTGATGTACTGTATTCGACATTTGCCAGTCTCTGGTGTTGCACTGGCATAGCCAGCATTTTAAACAGAGTTTTCTAGTTTTTACTGCCATGTGATATTTTTTAGTAGTAAATGCTAGTAGTAGTAAATGATAGTAGTCTCTTTAAGTTGAAGGATTAACAGGAAAGGTTTAAAAACAGATTGACATAGTTGATTATGTTTGATCATTACAAAAGGAAATAAAGTTGGCATGTCATGGCCTGATTGTGTGGGTGGTTATGAAGGCTGTAAACTACAAGCATCTCTACCAAAAGTTGAATCATTGAATAAAACTGTGTTTCTATTTCAGCATGCCATTTTACAGAATTCTGCTGTGCCAAATCATTTTTCTGCACACTAATATACAGCGAGCTAGACAGCTAAACAAGAACTAGTTTTATTGCTAGTCTAGCCTACACTAGTTTTCTATTTCAGATTGCAAGATTACAGAATGCTGCTGGGCCAAATCACTTTTCTGCATGTTAGTGTACAGCAAGCTAGATTGTTAAACAAGAGCTAGTTTCATTGCTAGTCTAGCCTACCCGGTCCCTTAGTGAACACTGCTAGTCATTAGCACTAGCAGCTGCGTAACTGAAAGGCTCACAGCTTCATTGACATGTAATTCAATTTGTCAAAAGATATATTGAGACATTAATCATTTCAATGAAAACTGTAAAATACTGTTTAAGCCGTCGGATAGGCAGTGCAACACCAGAGACTGACTGCACTTGGCACAATACATTCCGCCATTATGAGGTTGGTTCACAGTTTTTAGATAAGACAACCCTTTATTAGTCTCACAATGAGTGAATTCACAGTGCTACAGTAGCAAAGGGATAGCAAGGCACTCAAGAACAGAAGTAACAAGAAGAGAATTAACAAAGTATTTAGCCTTGTTAATTACTGAACAAGGTTACAGTTTGTTACTTGTTACTGTATAGACAATATATAATAATAAAGTTAAAAAAATATAAGATAAAAATATAAACTCTATCCTTAACATAAACACTATTCACAAAAATTAACAATATAAACATTATAAAAAAGCAAAACATATCTAGGGGGCTTCCCTGGACAGAGCCTGTACTCTTAAGGAGTCTGTCAAGTCTCTTCTTGTCTGCAGTTGAGATGCTGCAGCCCCAGCAGACCACTCCATAAAAGATGGCTGATGCCACCACGGTTTTTAAAAAGGTCCTCAGGAGTGCCTCCTGCACTCCAAACGACCTCAGTCTCCTAAGCAGGTTGAGTCTGCTCTAGCCTTTCCTGTAAAGTGCACTAATATTATCTGACCAGTCCGGTCTATTGTTGAGGTGAAAACATAGGTTCTTATAAGAGTCCACTCTCTCCATTCCCTGGATGTTCACTGGTGAAGGGAGGAAAGTGTGCCTGCGAAAATCCATCACCATCTCATTGGTCTTCCTCACATCGATCAGGAGGCGGTTCCTCAGACACCAGTCCACAAAGTCCTGGGTCAGGTCACTGTACTCTCTGTCATCCTCACCTGTAATGGGTCTAAGATTGCTGAGTCATCAGAGAACATCTGTAGATGACAGTCCAGTGAGCTGTACAAGAAGTCTGCAAGAAGTGTACAGGGTGAAAAGGAACAGAGCCAGGACTGTTTCCTGCAGGGCCCCTGTGCTACTGACCACCATGTCAGACCCGCATCTTTCCCCGCTTTGATCTTCCTGAGCTCCTTACACACCTGGGCTGTTATAAGATTATAAGACACAGACTGGAGCAGGGTGCTGGGTGCTGGAATGTACAGGTCGGGGGGTTGGGCTGACAGCAGAGGAAAGGGGTTGATGTGAGGTGAGAATTGTGGGGAAGGGGTGATTGTGGGATAGGGGGCAGGGCAGTACACTGGGAGTGCAGAAGAGGGGGGTTGCAGCAGGGATAACTGTGTAAGGGGAGGTGAGTGATCAAATCTGTTGAAAAATAGATTGAGATCGTTCACCCAGTTTTGGTCCCCTACAGCCTGGGAGTCTGGTTTCTTGAGGCTGGAGGTATGTTGTTGGAGAAACACCGAACAGGCTTGGTGGGTACAGTGTTCTCCATTCAGAAGTTAATATAGTCAGTGTATGAGACTGTCAATGTCCTCCTCATAAGGATCACACAGTTCCTCCCACTCTGTTGGGTCAAAGCAGTCTTTCAAAGCCTTTTCAGTCTCCTCAGACCATTTCTTCACTGTGCGGGTGACAGCTGGATCCCTGTGTACAAGTGGTAACCAGGTTGTGATCTGATCTTCCAAGGGGAGGGAGGGGTGATGAGTTATATGCCTCCTTGGTGTTGGCATAAAACAGATCCAGTATTATATTGTGACAGATTACATACTGGGTGAAGTTCTTCATCCTCCCAGAGTGGAGGATGGAGAAACATGGTTAAAATCCCCAGAGGTCAGAATGAGGGCCTGTGGATGCTGTGTCTGCAGCCTGCTCACAGCTGTGTGCAGGACGTCACAGGCAGCATCAGCTTTAGCAGAGGGGAGACGTACGCAACTATCACAATAGAATTACTTCAGTAGGTAGAATGGCCTCATGCTAACGGCTAACAGTTCAATGTCCTTACAGCAGATTTGCTCCTTAATAGTGATGTGCCCAGAGTTACACCACCTATCATTCACAAATACTGCCAGCCCTTCTCCTTTCCTCTTACCGCTTTCTGATGTCCTGTCCGCCTGTATGAGCTGGAAGCTGTCCAAAGTAATGACCGTGTCCGGAGTTAGCATAGTTAGCCAAGACGTAGTGAACAGCATGTTGCTACACTTGTGGTACTCCCTCTGATGTCGGGTCAGCGCCATTAGCTTGTCCATCTTATTTTGAAGAGATCATACATTTCCCTTGACAACTCAGGGAACAACAGGTCTATAACATCTCCTTCTGGCATGACACAGAACTCCAGCATGACTCCCCTGTCTTTTCCTCCTCAGCTTGCAGGGGATTTCGGATTGGTCATTTGGCAGCACTACTGTGTTGCGTAGCGCTAACAGCTGATCCCTACTGTAAACAATAGGGCTTTGTACGGGATCTGCAGACGCGCTCGTAAACAGAGAAAAAAGTAGAGTGAGGACCATGCCAAACTCTACAAATTTGGTGTCAGTAGTGTAAAAACCTTTGGCAAACAATCAAAATGTACAAAGCCAATTCCAAAAAAAGTTGGGACCCTGTGTAAAACGTAAATAAAGGTAAATATAAACAGAATGCAATGATCTCAGGGACCCATATTTTATTCACAATAGAACACAGAACACATATCAGATATTGATGAGACGTTTTACAATTTCATGAAAAGACTTATCTAGAACTTGATGGCATCAATGCATCTCAAAAAAGTTGGGACAGGGCTTCCCTCTCTTAATTTAACAAGTCTGTAAATGTCTGGGAAGTAAAGAGACCAATTGCTGGAATTTTGGGAGAGGAATGTTGTCCCATTCTTGTTTGATGTAGGATTCTAGCTGCTCAACAGTCCTGGCTCTTCTTTGCCGGATTTTTCATTTCATGATGACCCAAATGTTTTCTATTGGTGAAAGGTCTGGACTGCAGGCAGGCCAGTTCAGCAAGTAGATCCTTCTTCTGCGAAGCCATGCTGTTGTGATGGATGCAGTATGTGGTTTAGCATTGTCTTGAAATATGCAAGGCTTTCCCTGAAAAAGACGTTGTCTGGATGGGAGCATATGGTGTATTATAAACCTCTATATGCTGTTCAGCATTAATTAATTGCCTTTCCAGATGTGTAAGCTGCCTACACCATAGGCACTAATGCAACCCCATACTATCAGAAAAGCAGGCCTTTGAACTGTGCGCTAATAAAAAGCTGAATGGTCCCTCTCCTCTTGAGTCTGCAGGACACAGCGTCCGTGGTTTCCAAAAAGAATTTCAAATTTTCATTAATCTGACCACAGAACAGTTTTCCATTTTGCCCTAGTCCATTTCATATGAGCTTTGGCCCAGAGAAGATGGTAGCATTTCTGGTTCGTGTTGACAAATGGCTTCTTCTTTGCATGATACAGCTTTACCTTGCATTTGTGGATTGCACGGTGAACTGTGCTCAGAAACAATGATGTCTGGAAGTGTTGCTGAGCCCATGTAGTAATTTCCAGAACAGAATCATGCCTGTTTTCAATGCAGTGCCACCTGAGGGCCCGAAGATCACAAGAATCCAATATTGACCGTCGGCCTTCTCCAGATTCTCTGATATTATGTACTGTAGATGGTGGGGCATCCACCAATTTTACATTGATGAACATTTTTAGAGGCATTTTTTTGCAGATTGGTGAATCTCTGCCCATCTTTGCTTCTGAGAGACCCTGGCTTTCTGAAATGCTCTTTTTATACTCAGTCATGTGAGTTAGTTAAAAATTGCTCTTCGTGCTGTTTTTGTATTAGTACCACTTACTTTTCCAGATGTGTTGCTGCTGAGTTAATGTTTTTCATGAAATGGTAAAATGTCTCACTTTCAACATCTGATTTATGTTCTATGTTCTATGGTGAATAAAATATGGATCTACGAGATTTGCAAATCATTGCATTCTGTTTTTATTTACATTTTACACAGTGTCCTAACTTTTTTTTGAAATTGAGGTTGTATAAATACTGAAGACAAAGTAAGAAAAAAGCTCAAAGGTAGCCTGAGCTGCTGCAGCTGGCTGCCACCCTTGCACCACCCACCTTTTGATGTGGGCTTGGCTGAGGGGTCAGAAAACATGTGACTTTAGTTAAGTCAGCCAATAGACAGTGAAGGTGGATGCCTTCTTGTAAGACCCACCCCTCGTGAAAATGTGCCAAAAGTCAGAAGCAACAGAACAAATCCAGAAGCAAAAAAAAAGCATTAGTAAAGTCTGCATAAGGGAAAAAATGAAAACAAATATAAAGGCAAATTAAGGAGTAGTAAAATTCTTGAATATTGCTTTTAATAAATTTTAATTCATTATTTGTATTTGGAATATATTTTTTATCTTTTAATAAACTCTATAGAATACAAATGCAATAGCGGTAATAAGAATGTGACTCTTAACCTCATAATGAAACAAGTGTACAGAACAGAATTCTGTTGTGTTTGTCCTACAGATGCAGGAGTGCAGTAACAGATTGGGCGTCCCAATGAACTGCATCTTCCCCGTGAAGAACTACAGCGAGGAGGTTACCAATAACTTGTATATGGATATTCTGATTCTGATGGCTATAACAGATATCATTATGTTTGCCAATGACTACGTAGAAGAGCAGATTTATGCAGACACTGAATGAGGGGGTGAGGTTTGTTCAATGACAAACCTGATCACATGATCACAATGACACTAGTTTCAGCAATGAACATGTACAGATATGTGTCAGACAGCACCTGCACACACATTTTCACATCTAGTTGTGCTACATTTTATTTACAGTTATTTTTTGTTTATTCGGTATGTGGTGTTTCTAGTCTTTATGGTGTATAAGGCCTTTCCAGAGTTAATCTTAAACATATATATAAATAAAAGTTGAAACTTTAGCATATATAAGAACAGACAAAGTCTTGAATAAAATTTCAGTCCAAATTACCAAGCAGAAACAAAACCTTTAATATGAAGAGGAGGCGACCTTCGGCATGATTACTTTTCATAGGCTTGTGGTTCAGTGAATATAATTATGCATAATCATTGATGTCAATTTCAGAATCCCAGTGATATAGCTTGCTTGAAATTATATCAACCCTCCCAAAAGGTGCCAAAGATGACTGAATTATATTAGACCGGTAATTGTATAGGCAGCATACTCAGACTTCACTGACAAAAATTCATTGCATACTCAGAAGCTTAACTTTTGGAATCACATTCCTAAGTATGCTGTTTCTAAAAACATGGTAAAATGACAATATTTTAGCACAATGAGACATGAAAATATGTTTTACAACACAGCATGTAGACCTAAATCTATAGCTTGTGACCAAACTTTCAGAAAGCAAAAGAAGAGAAGCTGGCCAACAACCTGTAGATAAAATTGCTGTTTTGCCAGTTTTTACCATACACTACCAGTAAAACGTGTTAGAACACAAAAGTTTTTTCCAGTTTTTATTGATGTTTAAGGAGTTCAGTGAATTCCAGTGAATTCCGGTGAAAGACCTGAAATTGTACAAAGGGACCTCGTGAAGGTGTCAAAGCTTAGGAGTGCTCTCATAAATAAGTATGCACACACAGAATGCAATATATAGGTATTTAACACCTTTAGCCAATTATGGCAGTAAAGAGCCCCACATAAATGTGGCAAACCATACTGTAAACCATATTCTCACATTTTCCCTTATGTTTAATTATTATTTTTATTTTAAAATGGAAAAATGATTGTTGTTTTTTTCAAGTAAGCATCTAGCATATATATTCCTTGTGTAATGTATATTTGATGTGATAGGTGTAAAAGAAATAAATACAAAATAAAAGCATGTAGTAGTGACTTGGTATGTGTTGTGTTTCTAGACCTGTAAAATTACTGGCAATATATGCATAACAATAATGGTTTTCAATGATTTTTTGATTCTGTGGCACTGTAAGGAGAATACAGATCGTGTAAGCATTAATTAAATTATTTTTCAAGGCTTTTCAGTTTTATATATATATCTTGGTGATTGAAAAAAAATTGACTCACCAAACAATAAAAATAATGTCCACCTGAAAAGGTGTAGTGACGTTGGTTAAAGAATTTATTATAAAAAACAATTTACAGAAAAACAGAAGAAATGGAAAGGCTGAAATCTACATTCAAATAGTTTTGCCTATGTAACAACTTCTATAGTGAAACTGCATTGAACAGTAAGGATTTTGAGCATGCAGGGTCGCTATGGCAACCAAGCAAACATGCATGTGCATGTTTCAATCACAGTTTCTTTTTTCCATCATGCACAGTTGCCAGATTTGCAGTTTTCCTAATAATGATTTAATATACTTTATCAGATTACCTCAGTTTAATATATTTCCCTGTGCTCTTTGAAAGACATCTGTTAAAAACATTTTAATTCAGCTTTTGTAATGTGTGTTTTCTGGGTGTAGGTTCTATATTCAAATGAGAAGACTCTCATTGGCTGACTCTGTGGAAGGTGTGAAGAGGCCAAAAGGGGCCAGGGCAGGGGCAGTGGTGTCACTGTGCTGCTGTGTGAAGCTCAAAAATGGCTGTTAAGTGATATTACTTCTATGTATTACAACATCCAATATAGACCCCTTGTGCCACATGTGCTTATCTTAGATGTCTCCTACATATCAATTTTGTATCACTAGTCTGATTAAAGTCAGAAAACTCTGCTTTATGTTGTCATCCATGTAGCCTAGTAATTACATTAATTTTCCAGAGCTTAGCCAAGAATTGACATCTCCAATTGCAAATGGGATGCAACCATTTGTCCTGGAGGGTACATCATGTTACAAGTTAAACTGAAATACAGAATCTAACTAGATGATTACTTGCCAATGCAAGCTTGAGCTATCTACTAACTTCAGTGTGGTGCAGCTTGTTTGCATGGTTAGCACTAGACATTGAATAGGATGATTGCTGTCCTTGAGGTCCATGGCAGTTTGGTGATTTCTTTGCTCAAACATGTTAAATTGATTGGCTTATTGCCAAGTTAAGGTGTGTAAATGCAGGCATATCAACAAAATGTGCTGGGCACTAGATATCTAGGACAGGAACTGAATAGCCTTAACAACAAGCCACAGCTCAGTTCATGTTTTCCATTTTCTAATGGCGCTTGGGGGTGAAAGCTGTGTGTTGCTATTAAGGGTTGTAAGATGAGAAGAAAGATGATGGGTGGAGCAGATGTATTTGAATTAGATCGAAAGCTTGATGATAATGTTGTGAGCTGCTTAATGAACATCTGGGTCTAAACCCCTGATGAGTAAGCTGAGGGTGGCAGTGGCAAGGAAAAACTCCTTGGGGTGTGAGGACGAAACCTTGAGAGGAACAAACCAAAACTCAACTGGGAAACCCATCCTCCTCTGCTCAACACCAGATTGTGAAGATTATGTCTGACATGGCAGGTAAAGGTTTTAATGAGTGTAAGACTGATAACTTCCAGAATAGGAAAGACATTGCGCAGGGATGGATGTTGGAAGGTAGCGACTGTGTATGGAAACTGGTGATTGGTGTGATGACAGGCGGTGGCAATGGGTGATGCTCTGTTCACTGTGGGAGGTCGTTTGGTAGGGAGTGTCCTGTTGGCAACGGAGTAATTGTTCAGTTATCTCTTTAGATGAGGATCACCTGCTTGTAATACAAGCCCCCAAAGAAGGCAAGTGAAGATGAATGGACACAGCTCCCATGGACTGAGTACTTCAATGGGACAAGATAGCGAAGTCAGCAGTTTGGGGGGAAGCAAATCAGAGATGTCTGAAATTACTAGATGAGCACCATCTTCACAAAATAAATCATTGCCAGTAGAGGCTCAGGGGGAGCCATACTAAAGGTCAACTAGGCAATGGTGGCCTGTGGAGGAAGGAAAAGGAGTAGTTGAAGGGGAGGAGGTGGGGTTTCTTCAGGTTGCAGAGGAGGGGCCAGCGAGGAAATGGCATCCAGAAGGACGATGAAGCATCAGATGTGAAGGAAGCTATAGAGCAAGCAAAGGGGTGTATCATCTGGGGGCTGGGGCAGATGAAATGAGACATATTAGGCACACATTAACATGCCATGACCACATCATCGTCACTGCCGTGCTGAGAATAATCCACCACCTAAATAATACATATTTTAAGCCTTTACCTAGTACCAGGTATAGGTCCTGGAAAGCTGCAATCTAGCACGGTGTGGTGATTTCCCTGCTTAAACACACCTGGTTTAACTCTACTTGGCTAATTGCAAAGATCAGTAAGAGTGTTTATGCAGAGAAAGCTCAAAACTGAGCCTACAAATGGGACAACTGCTAAAACACTACACTATTCAGTAGACCAGTCTGCTTACCTCTCATCTTTAGAAAAGAAAACACCTGCAGGAGCATGTGTGCCTGTGTTTCTTCTGAACAGTAGTTCTCCTTTTAAATCCTCTTGAGGGCAGGGTCAGTTTACGAGAGGGCTCCTGGAAATATCTGACTGTTCTCTGCTAGATAATGAATGAGGTGTTGCTGTTCTTCATTAGGAGTTAATAACATTTGTAGGCTGATGTACAAATTGGTTCACACTGCCAAATATGAAGTGTGCATTAGCCTTTTAAGGTTTCTGATCAAAACTATCACATGAGGGACACCAGTCAGTACAGTGCGGTGTGATGCCACCAGCCTTCTCTGAGGAAACCTGTTTCTGTGAATAGAAATGAAGGATATAATCCATTATATTGTAGAGACTGCACACTGTGTAATGTATTTCACTACTGCTAGAAGTGTACAGTATCAGTTAGTAGTTCAGCAGGAACCTTGTCAGACTCAGCTATTGAGCAATTAATGTTGAACTGATCGGTAATTTATGAGTAGTTATTCTAAGAAACCATAGTTACTACGTAATTCTCAATGAGACTCAGTAGTTATTGTTTAGTTAATAGTGAACGACTCTAATCATTAGTTCACTCTTACCTACTGAGTAGTTAACTAGTACTCCTTGGTAGTTAAGAGTAGTTACTTAAGTGTTAATGCAACACTACTCATCCATTCCTGTATAGTTCCTGATTAATAGTTATTTATTAACTACTAAACAGTATTGTAAAGTGTTACCACAGAGGCTGTGGTGACATTTTGAAGACTAGGTTGGTGAATGTGGCTGTTGTAGTGAAGGGCAAGGCAGTACTTTGCTGTGACATAGTAACTGGAATAAAATCCCATCTGTCTAAAGAATGCAATACATTTTTTGTAAGAAAACAATGCCAAAGACAGACTCCACATTTCATGATTTCTCAAATGGAAGATACAATGACAAGTAACATATATATGAACTGGCAAGGAAAATGCAGGTTTGTTCATTTGGTCTCTGTAGCATGTCATGCGCTACCCCAGGCACAAGGAGGACGCTGGAGGCAGGATTCAGTTGTGTTTCACTTTATAATACTGTTCCTGATCATGATTACTCCTATTTCATTAATAGTGAGTTACCATGTGTTTCACTTCATAATACTGTTCCTGATCATGATTAACTCCTAGTTTATTAATAGTGAGTTACCATGTGTTTCACTTTATAATACTGTTCCTGATAATCATTAACTCCTAGTTTATTAATAGTGAGTTACCATGTGTTTCACTTTATAATACTGTTCCTGATCATGATTAACTCCTAGTTTATTAATAGTGAGTTACCATGTGTTAC